TCCTGAGACCAGTGCCGGCCAATCGGCAGTTCGTACGGCTGGGCAGACAGCGCTGAACGAGGGGCAAGGGCAGATGCAGGCGGCAAACAAGGGGCCGAGCATGGTGGGTGGGTTGGCACCAGGTCTCGTTGCCATGCCTGAAATGGGGGCAGCACAGATGGTGAACCAGGGCATGGCCAGCAACAGGGCTGGTGTTGGTGGCGTGCCTTTGAAGCAGATGGGAGTGGCTGGGCCTGGTGCACAGCCGCAGGGAGTGGCCAGTTCTGTGGGCACGGGGGCTGGTGATATCAGCCGGCTCCAGGCACAGCAGTTGAATTATTTTTCTGGGTACAAGGTACCTCTACAGGCAAACCAGTCTGCACAGAATGCTTTGAGCCTGTCGCAGGCGAGTCAGGATGCGGCCAAGAAGACACAAGGGGGGCCATCGGAGATGCAGGGACAGCAAGGTGTTTTGCAACAGCCAACAGTGGCTGGTTCTGGCAGCAAGGTGATGCAGACAGTTGGAGGCCAGATGACGGCATTGGCGCAGCACCAAGGCCCGTCGCCGTCCAAGACAGAGAAACCCCAGGCTGCCAGGCAGCAAACTGCCTTTCAGGCTGGTCGGAATGCGCAGGCTAGCGTTCAGCCTGGTGGTGTGCAGGCAGCTGGACAGGGAGCACCCGTGGCTTCTTATCTTACACAGAATGTGCTGTGGAGGTTTGCCCCAGAAGACAAGGCAGTGGCACAGGCTGGCACCCATCAACAGGTAACACAGGCAAGTGGCCTGCAGCAAGCTCAGCAAGGCATTGTGGAGGGTCGGGCTGGGGTGGCTGGAGCGGACCAGACTGCAAGTCAATTCAAAGGGGGGCAGGCCATGGGCTCAACGCCATATGCACAGAGCCAGGCACAGGTCACGCGGCTGGCGGGGAGTGTCCAACCCGAAGTGGGTGGTCAGCGGTACAGTGTCAATACGAAACAAGAGCAGCATGGCATGTTGGGTGTGACTCCACAGGATGGTGGGTCTCGTGCGACGACAGGGGGTGGAGGTGGCAGTGGCAGAGAGAATCTGGGCACGGCAGGGGGGACATCTGCAGGAACTGCTGCTGGTCGTGACAGCGTCAAACCTGCAGAGCCTCAGAAACAGCAGTCCTCCAACCTGGTCGAAGAAGTTCGGAGCCTGTTGAAGCAAGAAGTTTCCGTGGTGAATCCCGTTCTTCTGAATCGGTTGCCACTGCTGTTCTTCAACAAATTTAGCCGCACCCTGGACTTCCAGAGCCTTGGGTATGCCACACTGCTGGACATGATGGCTTCGCTAGCTGACTGTGTGGAGGTAGCTGAAGCAGATGTGGGCAAGATCCTGGTGCCTCCAGGAATGGCCAAGCACTATACCAAGCAGAAACCTGCTACTCAAGGCCCTGGGAGCTACCCCACGGCTCGCGCTGGCCCAGCTGCTGTCACAGCAGGTCAGCATCCTGGAACGACGGTCACTGCACAGCCAGGTGCGCCGCTTGTTCATGCTCCAGGGGCCCAGAACTATGGTCCTGCACAAGCCCAAGCTCAGGCCCAGGCCCAGGCCCAGGCTCAGGCCCAGGCCCAGGCCCAGGCCCAGGCTCAGGCTCAGGCTCAGGCTCAGGCTCAGGCTCAGGCCCAGGCTCAGGCCCAGGCTCAGGCCCAGGCTCAGGCTCAGGCTCAGGCTCAGGCTCAGGCTCAGTACCAAGCTCAGGTTCAAGCCCAGCAGCGGCCCCAGGCACCATCTCAGCCAGCGATGCCACAACAGGTGCCCTATGCACAGCCACCAGGTACGCACCCAGCTCCCACACCAGGTGTGTATCCTGGCTATCAGTACTACTACATGCAGCCACCCACGAGTGCCAGCCCCTACCCACCGGGCTACGATCTTGCCCAGCATAGGCCACCTCAGGCGCCAGGCCAGCCTCAGGACCCTGCCCAGGCACAAGCTCAGGCTCAAGCCCAGGCCCAAGCCCAAGCCCAGGCTCAAGCCCAAGCCCAAGCCCAGGCTCAAGCCCAAGCCCAAGCCCAGGCACAAGCCCAGGTGCAAGCCCAAGGGCAGCAGGCACCAACTCAGGGTGCCGCACAGGGCCAAGGCGTGGCACAGAGCCAGACTCAGCCACAGCTTCAGACCCAAGCACAACAGGCCCAGGTGCAGCAGTCCCAGGCACAGGCCCAAGCGCAGGCGCAGGCGGCTCACACGCACGCACAAGCACAAGCCCAGGCAGCACAGGCTGCACAGGCTGCACAGGCTGCCCAGGCTGCACAGGCTGCCCAGGCTGCACAGGCCCATGCCCAAGCGCAAGCTCAAGCACAGGCGCAGGCGCAGGCGCAGGCACAAGCGCAGGCTCAGGCATATGCCCAGGCACAGGCTCAGCAGCAGCAGCAGCAGCAGCCGGCACCGGGAGGTGCTTATGACCAAACCTATGGGTCCTATTACCCGGGTTATTACGACCCCAACCAGGGGTACACGCAGCCAAACGGGTACCTCCCCCAAGACCCTGCACAGGTGGCACAGCAGCAGGCGGCCCAGCAAGCAGCACAGCAGGCGGCAGCAGCACAGCAGGCGGCGGCAGCGCAGCAGGCGGCCGCAGCGCAGCAGGCGGCGGCCGTGCAGCAGGCGGCGGCAGTGCAGCAGGCGGCGGCAGTGCAGCAGGCGGCGGCAGCGCATCAGGCGGCGGCAGCACAACAGGCGGCAGCAGCACAGCAGGCGGCAGCAGCACAGCAGGTGGCACAGCAGTCAGCACAACAGTCGGTGCAGCAGTATGCTGCGTGGGCCGGTTATGATCAGCAGCAGGCGGCAGCCGCAGCTCAACAGCCGGGGTACCCGTATGACCCCTATGCACAATATGCCGCTGCCGGCTGGCAGCAGCCACCTGCTTGAGTGGATGGAGCGGCTGTGATGTTGGAACTGGCCCGAACATGGGCAGGGAGGGAAGGGAGAATGTCGTGACTGGTAGGCACAATTGTGTTGAAATCCTAGCCAGGGTGAGTGCATTGAGTGCTGTCGATTGCTTGTGGGAGTCTGGGAGGTGGGTGGCCATGCCAGGTGCTGGAGTTCGTGAGTGCCTTGTCTAATGTCCTGACCTTTATGGTTTTGTCTATGGACGGCCTATCTGAGGTGCACATTGATGCAGTTCCCTGATCGTTAGATGTGACACTCAGGGGGCGTTTGCACTGTTCGCACACTGTTTTCCTGAAAGTGCTGGTGTGGAGGTAGCTGTCTTTTGAGGAACTGTCATGGTCGGAGGCATACAGCTCTGGGATACAGAGGGTCTACCCATCACGATTGCTGTATGTAAAGATGCGAACCTCCATGTGTGTGTGTGTGCGTGCGTGTCCTGTGCCAAATTTGACTGACCATTGCCCAAGAAGTGTGATGTTGCAAATTGTTAGAAACACATGTAATGGAAAGCATTGAGCTAGAGCACTGGATGAAACGAAGCACTGACAAGAAATCACTTTACCAGATAGAAGACTATAGAACTCCAGGGTAAAGAGCACTTCGAAACCTTGTTTTGTCTGGACAGTTTGTTGTGAAGAATGTGTGCATTTTGGAATATGTTTATTGTGCATCGTGTTGTCTACCGTCATTTGTCTTCCACATACTGACCACTGACAAGGATTCCCTGGACGCCAGACCCTTCAAACCATATCATGATTCCATTGTGAGTGTCCCGCATCAGTTCACTTCAGAACGGTGGAGCGAAGTCTGTTATGGCGCGCAAGGACTTGGCAGCAAGTCGCTGCTGCAGCGACGCTTCTGGCTGTTGCCTCTGGGATTGCGGATTTTTATCCGCAAGCGTGGTTCTGGCTTGCCGCGATGAGCCTTGCTGCCCCGTGTTCACCACACGCTCAATTGACGTGCGTGTGCCTTCTTGCGCTGGGGCCCATGGTGACGCAGCACAGCTAACACGTAATGCACATGATGACGCTCAGTGAAGGCCATTCTCACATAAGCAAACATGCTGTGATGACAGCGCCAGCACGCAATCTCCTTGATGGCCAATGCAGCCCATGGCCCTCTGCACAGTGCCATGCACAACTTGTCCCGTGCCTCGCAATGGCAGCCGTCGCTGTGGAGCATCCTGGAGTCTATTTTGTCAAACACTTGCACAGTTTGGAGACTTGCCATGTCTTGTTTGTTTTCCTGCTGGGCAGATTGGTCCATTGTGTGGCGTCCAGCCAGATTGGACTTGAAACACTTTGCGTACTACTTCAAAGTAGGATTTTGGTTGCTGAGTTCGCGTTGTGCATTGCGCCACTACCCCTGTGCATGCCGCTGTCTGGTGGCTGCCCTTGGTGGTGCTCATGAAGTTGACAGTGTGGGCACTCCTTGCTGGTGTGTAGCCTACTAGTGCTCAGTTTTGGGTGAGCGGCTGTCCAAGCGGCAACGGATGTGGCTGCCTATGACTTTGGTCATTGCTCCAGATGAGCTTGCATCCTTAGCACCATTTGGGATCTTTCGGTATTCAGAATTCGTTCTAGGTGCATTTGTGGGATTCTGTGGCGTTTTGTCACAGAAGGCCAGCACCCCGAGTCAGTTCCCCAGCCCCTGAGTTGCCCAGTCGTCATTGCATGGCAAACATCATGAAAGACCTGCGCTTCTGTGTTGATGGCGCCTGCAGGGGCCTGGCCTTGATGGGGATCGTTGGACAGATTGAACTGTGGATCTCTGTTATAGCACGCTGTCAGTGCCTTTGTACACAGCGACATGCAGCGGCACCGCTTCGCTATGATGCACCTCATTGGGGGGAGAAAGCATATGCCTGGGGGCGTGGGGATAATTCCTTTTCGATGTGTCGATGTTGCGTCGTTGGCAATGCCAGTCAAAAGTCGGGCAGGGTCTAGGGCATTTGCCATGGGCCAGATTTCAACGCTTGGTGCATCCTCGCTGTGCCATTTGCTGCTCGTGTGCGTCAATCTGGTGTGTTTCTTGCTGCTATGGTTGTCTGGCGAATTGATGCCCGGCTTCTCCGAGCTGGCAGGTTGTGTAGCGCCACAACGGGTTGATGAAGGATGCAGATGGCTTGGTCGTCGCTGGCCGTCTGGACACCTCCAATCCTTTTGCTCGCAGAGGCCCCATCGGAACGATTGGCGTTCTTGACGCCAGCTGTGGCCGGGAGGAACTCAGTGTTTGTCGTGTGGGTGTGGTTGCGCTCAAGGCCCCAGGACGCCTCGCTGCTCCAAGTGTGGGGCCATGGCGAGCGGTGGCCTTGGCAGCGGGGGGTATGTCCTGCTGTGGACAACGCTCCCGCGGATGCACAGGCAGCCGCTGGGAGGCGCTGGACCCTCTGTCAGCGCCCTGGACGAGCAAGGTGGAGCCTTTGAGTTGCATTTGCCTTTTCACCAGACAGACACAGGAGACGGGCGGACAGACAGAGCAGGGCTCTTGACCCCCACGGGTGATGGCGGACGCGGACACTCCGGAAAAACCTGCTTGTCATTTGCCCGTTTCTCAACTCTGGACGCGTGTGTGCCACGCTTAAATGGCTGCCCGCATGTGGTGGTGTTGTGCGAGGCTCCCATTCCTGCCCGATGGGACGAAGGCCCCCTTGTGCGGGGGATGCGGCGAACGAGCCGGGGATTGGGTCGAAGCAAATGTCGCAACAAGGCCGATCAATCGTTTGCACGCCTGGGGCGACTTGTTGGCTTATAAAAATCGAAATGCTGATCTGCGTTTGAATGCTGATGTATTGTTCATAGGATGGCGGGAGGTAGTTGCGGAATCGCCACCTTCGGTGCCTGCACATGGGTTCTTAATGCTCCCAATGTCTGACACCCCCTATTTCCGGACACCAAGGTCATTTTGTATTTTTGGGTCCACGGACGTTTCGGCTTTGAAGGCCCTCGCCCCCTGCATGACCTTCCTGATCCCTCGATGACCTTCATACCCGAAATGACAGGCATTGGACGAACCTCTTCATGTTGCAAATGCGCTCAAGATTGGAACTGTGCACAAACAACGCAATGGAGAGAAATGCCGCCCAGCACGCAGCCAGGATTGCATGGCTTTGTGCTTCTGAGCGCGGTTTGAACTGTCCACACACTGCTTTCAGCAATGCTCTTGAAATAAGTTTACGGTGTAAAAGAATATGCAAATAAGACTTGATTGTGATTTAATGTGACCTGAACACGGAGCGGCATTGTGTGCAGTGTCCAACTGGTTTGCCAGTGATGGTTGTCTTTCACCACCTGAAGCACTTGGTGTGGCTTATCTTTGATAATCCGTTTGTGGATTTGATGGCTGTCGCATTTTCTCTTCTGACCGGAGCTGGCGTACCCGGACCTCGCCCTTTTTCTGCCCAGTTGCCATCACAGGCTTCCGCTCCAGGTGCGCTTCATGTTGAGGCCGCCACTACTGTGCTGCCGTGATCCTCCTTGCGCGACGTAATCATCAATTGACAGCGAGGTGGTGAGCATGCCCGGCCGCGCCAGTGCGGTGTACACTTCTGATGAGAGAAATGTGCCCATCAAGGGCGCAAGCGTCGGGCGAACGGGTTTTGTTGCTGGAAGTGCTGGCGGCACTGATGGACAAATACACCAGGGCTACGATGTTTTGAACCGCTGTACTGTTTTGACCGTACCAGCCACAGTCCGTACTTCCTTTGGCTGGAGGGCATGTGAAGCGTGTAGGGCTTCGAGCAATGTAACAAAAGCGGGTTCTCAATTTGCCGGGTTTCAAAGCCGCTGGGATCTGGATCAATGTCCTCAAGTATTCGAAGCAGAACGCATTGTCTAAAATGCGATGTCTCGCAACGATCTTGGCAAATCGTATCCTTGTTCATTGGATTCTTGTTGCGGAACACGTGCTCTGGGAACGGTGTTCTAGAACGTTGCAAGGACGGCTAATCTGCATTCCAAAGCCCCCCATCCTTCGCTTCGTTGCGATGGGAATTTGGAAGTACGACTGATTGAGTATTATCAACAGCTGGGTGCACAGAGAGATTACGAGGCGTCAGGAGTTGCAGTGAGGACATTGACGAACAGACTGGATATAAAGGGCAGGAATCCTGTCGTCCCTTTGCTCGGCTGCAAACCTTTGCCGTGGACTCGAGCCTGCGGTCCCCGATCAAAGGTCGCCACCCCTCGACCCTGCCTGCCTCCGTCAGTATGACAGGCTCCAATCGCTCACACCAAAGTCTGCATGCACCTTCCCAACGCAACGATGGCCATGCAGGAGCGACCCTGACAATTAATAGATTGGGGTAAGGGTAATCAATCCCGCTAAATTTGGTGCCGGTGCCTGCGAACGTGGCGAACGCGAGGCAACCTTTGCAGCGTGCCGCCAGGTCCCCGTGGCGTTGCGGGGCGGCCATGGGGAGGGAGAAACGCGTGCGCTTCGCGGACACGGTCGACGAAATCATACCCGCACCGGAGGCGGTGTGTTCATCTCGCCACGCAGCGTCGGAGGGGATCGCGGAGGACGGCTGGCGGGCCACCGGCCCTGGTGGGTGTGCGACCGCATGGACACACGTCATTCAATCTGTCTTGCGCGGATGCAGTTCCCCGTGGCATTCGCTGCCATGCTTGTCTCATCCTCGCTTTCCTTTCGGCACGTTTGAGCTCGTCAGTTTGCTGAAGATTAAGCTCCGGGAGGTCGAGGCGACCACCACACGCTACTCTTGTCTGGGCGCCAGAGTCGGAACTGAATGAAGGGATGCATCAGGGGCATCGACGTCACAAGCGTCGCACCGCTCATGGAGCGTGCTTGCGCTGACTTCAGACAAGGCAGCATTAGACAGCATCAGTTTTCTTGTTTGCGTGAGACATCAAGTTCGAGCTTGAAGTGGGATCGCGCGTGGCAGGTCGAGAAGGGGAGTGGTGTCGGGCGCCGGGAATCAGTCCAGAGGTGGCCATCGCGGAGAGGGCCGCGCGGCGGCGTGAGCTTGAAGAGCGGGATGCCGAAGACGGGACGGCGTTCCTGAGCGACGTTCGGCAGGCAGAGGAGGAGTATGACGACCCGCCAGAGGTGGGCAGGCTCCTCGAGAAATTTCTCGGCTTAGATTGTACTTTTGAGCTCCTTTTGCGATTTTCAGGCCGTACTTGTATTGCAGTTTTATCTCTCAAATAGAGGACAGTTAATTCCAGGCAGAGCAAGTACTGTGTAGTGTTGCCTTCGATCTTCACAAACGGTCTTTGACCCTTTTGTGGTGCGATTTTTTTTTGAAGTACAGAAAGGGCTGGATGCTTCTTCCATTGTGCCTCTTGTTGTGGTGTTATGATGGATTGAGGGACCTGCCCATGGTGGGCCCACTGGCTGCAAGTTCCAAGTGTGCAAAATATGCTGCAAAGGGAGAACAGAAGACAACATCAGTGTTGGAAGCTGTTCCTTTCAACGGGCTTTAAACAAAAGTGTGCACAATGTATTTAAATTCTGGATGTCGCAGCAAGGGCAGTGGTTTGTCAACTCTTGTCCAATGTATTCCAAAAACGCAACCTCCTGCTGTGTGAGGTCGACGCAAGGCTGTTGGCTGTCCATTCTGAGCAGCTCAGCAGCTGAGCAACTGAAGCCCCTGAATGTGAAGTAGTTGATGGAAGCAGAAAGGAATCCTGGGCAGGAATTTTGTTAGACTGTTTATTATTGAAGACGATGTTGCAGAAGTGCAACATGAATAGCAAAAAACAAAGTGGAGTAGCATGATTGGCAAGAAAGTATGTGTCCATGATTGCAGGGTGAGGACACGGTTGAGGGGCATTGAATAACCATTTGCTCTCACAAAATATGCATTGGACAGAGTGGCTATGGAAGATTGTGTTTGGTAATTCAGTGCCATGTCCAGTTATGGCATATGCATTTGTGCCATGTATGCAACTCAACAAATCAATGTTATGTGATCATTTCCCAACTGATGCATGCAACTTGTGTTGGTGCCTTTGCCAGGATTTCAATGATGGCGGCATACCCATCGAGCCCTTCCATCTGAAGAATGAGCGTGCAGAGGGATACTTCGATTCAGATGGGCACTATGTCCCAAACAGAGCCGATCTGGATGCAAACGATGCATGGTTGGACACATTGGATGTAAGTTTCATCTGCGTTGCCATATGCTCCCCTTGATGCACATGTTCATTGTACTTTGAAACATCCATTGTTCTAATCTTAGTTGTGTAAGTCCTCATGATGTTGCCACATTGCGGGGTTTTGCATCTGGTGTTACCCAGTTATCATTGTGGCTGGTTTGTTTCAGTTAGTTTCTTTGGGTTGTTGATAGGAATCTTTTGCGTGTGTACCAATGTGCAAAATGTCCCTACTAGCCGTTCTCCTTTCTTTCTCTGTCTATTGCATGTTTCCCATTCACTGGTTTGCTGGTGTTGTGGCAGTCGTATTTTGGACAGGCAAGTTCCTGCAGCAGATACTTGGCCATTTCTGATGTGACAATAAATCTGAAATGAAGCGGGTCCATCCCTGCTACATCAAGTGCCATAGCAGAGCAATAAATTCAAGCGATGAGTCGCATTTTGGGCTCATCAGTGTATTGTTCAGAGCATTTGTACATTGGCAGCATTGGCCCCTCGGCTGTTGTACTGTGCCATCAAGTTTATAGATTGGCAAACAACTTCGCGTGTGCTTTGCGGAAGTTTAATTGATCATATTGTCAGAAATGACAGCCTGCCCCTGTACCCTTGAGACAATGTTGGTGGCCTACTTGTTGCGCAATAAATTAGAGCATTTCCCTTCTTTCTTTCAATCAGTTAGTCAATCAATGTATCGTTTCGTTTGTCGAGCCGTGCACACTTCATGAAAGAAATGCCCATTCGTACAGAACTCATCTGTTTGGAAGAAGCCTGCCGAGGATTCCATGGCTGAGGAGCAGGCTGCTGAGGTCGAAATGGATGAGGACGACCTGCAGGCGTACAAAAAACGACTAGTGGACCTGCTTCTTCCAGAAGAAACGGTGTGTAATTTTGGTAAGGAGCATGCTGTGACCAACAGCGATCAAAGCGATCGAAGTCTATTTCATTGCTACATTACTTGCATGAAACGTGTTATTCAGCAGGAGTATTGCAACTTACTGTTCCGTACTGCACGTTTGCCAGATCAACTTGGTCGATTTTCGGTGGATGTGGATCTCGATCGCACTAGCCATCGGCGTGCAGCTAGATTTTCAAACTAATACCAAGTGTGTCTCTGCCAACCTCCATGTGGGCCCAACTCTGCACACTGCTACATTTGCCTGGTTCCAATATGTTGCAGCTCTTGCCCGTTGCCCCAATTCTGCAGCACATTGTTTCAGACAACTTGTAAGCGCAGCCACTCCCTTTCAAGGGTCTCAGCATCATACTGTTCACACTCTTCATGGATTATGTTGGGCACTCTCTTCTACTGTGCACTGTGCGGAATCTCATCTCTATGACTCTCGTTTCAACGGTCTGAAGAAGCCTAGATCATTAATGTTCAGATCTGGAGATTGGGTTGTCTGGGTAATAAGATTGTACCATCAACCTTGCGTGCCCAGCTTTTTTAGAGCGCCAAGTTCCATTTTCCCGTGTGGGGCCTCAGTGCAATTGTAATTATGGCAAAACTTGACGTTCGCCAGACGCTCTCGCACAGTCTCTCCCTGGCACAGGAAGCAAGCTGTAACCGGATACGCTACATGACCAGCAAACTTATCAAATAATACTCACTGTAAATGTTCACAATTAGCAACCATCGCATATCCATATTCATTTCACCATACTTCAACACCACGTCCTCTGTGTTCAGCTGCAGCATATTTAGCACCATTCCCCTTATTACTACATGCTTATTTTATATCGCCCTCACAGTGGTGACAGCACCTGAGGACAGTGTACCATCCATTGAATTGCAGAGCCTGGGTTAAGGCATGCCTTTGTGCGGCCGTCCAGGTACTTCGTGCGCTGCACAGGCTGGGGTCCCAAGCAGCAGGCCCCACGGTAAGCGACTCCGCAGAGATTGGAGCGGCTGGATTGGGCACTGAAACATGTGGAGGCAAGAGGAAGAAGCCCACACCTGCAAAGAGGAGGGTTCCAGTTGAAAACAGGTGTGCAAAATCCAGCTCTCACCAGTTTTCCTTGTGGACCCACAGACTGCGCATTGGCACAGCTTGGTGCGATGCCGTCCCATTGGGTGGTGGACTCGCCATCAACCATGGCCTATGTACCTTTCTATCTAGAGATGCACTGCTGCACCCCTTGGCACATACAGAACACAGTTGGGGTTCAGTTTCGAATGAATGCATTTTTCATTTACCACGTTTATCAAGTTTTGATGAGCCAACCTGTCTTGCATCCCTTCGGCATCACCAGTCGCCAGATGTGAGTGCATCTGTTGTCCCAGACGTGTTGCTGATCGATTTGAATGGATTGTGATGGTGTCCGCTCATCAACGTCCCCAAGGTGAAGTTTCAGTGCCACCACAAAGAGGAGCTGGCCGTACAGTGCCCCCAAGGCAGAGCCAGCTTGACTGAAATATGAAATTAGTAAGGAAAAAGAGTAAAATAGAGAAGGTACAGAAAACGGTGAGAAGAAAGCAGGGCACTGGTTGGGCGCCCCCCTCCTGAGCAAACAGCTCAAAATATGTAGAGTGCCTCGTGCAGCCACACTGGTACCATGCAGATGTTGAACCTTTGGCCGTTCTTGGTGCTCAGGGCCGCGTTCGACAAGATGACAGAGTACGCCAGTTTGCTGCTGCTGCATGGGGACTACAACGTCTACAGCCAGCACAAGGAGGAGATGGAGCGAGAGCTGCAGGCAAAGGCAAGGAGTGCTATGGAAAGCATTGTTGACTGCATTTGTGAAACCAGATGAAACACTGTCCATTGTTGCCTTGTGTGCGATGTGAGGACACAGACCATGGCGGCATGTAACAGGTGTGACCTTTGGTCGATGCTGTAGTCGATTTTTGTAATCCACAAACCTAAAGAGATTTGTCATTGGCTGAGTAGCATGCAGGTTCCCACAGAAAGATTCGTGCATTTTGAGCCGAGAGATGCGCAGATGGAGCAGAAGGATATTTTGACCAGTGCCAACAAATCTTACTCAACTTATTTGTTCTTTCATCTGGCATTTGACCTTTATTTGGAAGTAGACTGTCGATTCAGATGTGCATGCTGACTGCTGCCAGGATTCCATTGCATTCGGTTTGAGGCAATTCCTGCAACTTTGTGTGTTCAGCAAGTGTTGGACATGATGGCATCCGACATCTTGCCAGTCCTTTCGTGATTGCCCTTGCTGACATGCTTTTTTGCTTCACGCTTTCCTGGGCTGCGGGTGAGCTAATTTGGCTTGGGGCGCCAAGATTATTCAAGCATCTTGAGGCACATGCCCACTCGAACTCCCCACTTCTCAGATCCTCTCCAGCTGCCGGGCTGTGGGTGCACTGTTCTTATGCCCTGCCCGCCCAGTCATGTGCTGTCATTGCTTGTCCATCGCTCTGAAACCATGCTGTTGTTGATTTGCAATGCATTGTACATGTTACAGCATATGACAACAGTGAGTGAAGGCTCCTTGAGACAGATTTGATTCGTGGCGAATCGGAGCGGGTGGGGCAGTTGCCAGTTTGGAAGTGTACCAGATCGCTCAGGCACCGTGGCGACGTTGATGAGAGCACGGTGCAGTGCATGTGTTGCAACTCGCGACAACCATCGCGCAGCGTCCCTGAAACAGTTTCGTCCATTGGCGCTCAGCAGGGCGTGGGACGGTCGTCAACTGGGAAGGACGCCGGAGGGGCCAGCGTGGAGGCAACTCCCGGCGCCCGCCATCGGTCTATGCCGCCCGATCCTACCCTCACCAACGGCGCCGCAGCTCCCCCAAAGGCCGCCGATTCCGACGTCGATATGTTCGGCGAGGACGACGCATCGCCATCCGGGCCGCAGGAAGGTGCGCCCAGCGCCGGCGGCCCGGGCGCCGAGCGCCAAGTGGCGTCCGCGGAAGGCGGGCAGTCATCCGAGGCACCGACCCGTGTGCCCGTTCCTTTCGGTGTTCTGGGCGAGGACGAGGCAATGAAGGGGGAGGGGGGTTACGCGGGTTACGCGTACGACCCCTCGTCGGGGTATTACTACAACAGTGACGCGGGGTGTTACTACGACCCGGGGACTGGCCTCCTGGGGGACTCGGGGTCCGGGCTGTGGTACAGGTACGTGGATGGCGAGTACAGGCTTGCGGACTCGTAGAGCTCGAGGATTTTTTTCTTTTACTGGGGGGGGGGGAGAGCATGAAAAAGAATAGTGAAGAGAAAATGAAACGAAAAGAAAGAAATAGTGAGTAGGAGTGGAGCCCGACGAAGAGGTGAGCTCGTGGCCACCTCCCAGCCTTGGTGAGGGAGTTTGCTATGCGGCGATGGCGAGTGGGAATGCAGCTTGGGATGGTCGGATGGGGGGTAGGTGGATTTGCTTGTGCAGCAGAAAGACGGCGCGTGCCAAAGCAAATAGCAAGGATTCTGTGGGACTTATTCTGCATGCTTTTGGCTGCTGATTTGATCCCGCCTGGATTCCGTTGTTCAAGTTGGCAAAGCAGTGCCCCCGCGCCTTCAAGGCCTTGACAGGCGCTTTTGCAACTCCGGAGTTAAAATCTGGGAAGGGGGAGGAGGGGAGACTGGAATTCGCAGGCTGAGGGAGTGCATGTCAGATACATGCGAGATTTAGCATTTGAATCGACTCCATGAAACGTGAACGCCCGTGGTGCCCTGCTGCAAAGGGAGCGGTTTTGAGTCGCATCAACCCTATTCCCTTCAAGAGGAGCCCAAAGAACTGAATCATGGCACCCAAGAACTGCCTCCTGGGGTTGTGTTCAAGGGCAGGCACCGCTGAAAAGGGACACTGGTGGCACCACTGCCCCCAACGACACACCCTTGCAGAAACACGAAAAGAGGTATGTGTGATACAAACCAGCCCAAAGCAAGGAGACAAGGGAATCCACAGGCTACACACTCGCTGCCTCACCACAGAGCAAAGAGAAAGGCCACACAAGCTGGGGCCGGGGCTGCCTTCCTTGCCCATCCTCAGCCCACACAAACACACTCCCCTTAGCTGTCTCTAGGCCAGGTCAACGCACATGGGCTCACGAAGCCATGATCTACAAGCAGGGCGGTCACTGAGGACAACAAAGGACAAATGCAAGTCCAGCCTATTCTGAACCTGGTAGTACAACAGCACTGAGCATCCCACTGGCGCGGGCACCTTCTAGACAGGCATCCAGATTTAAATGCATCACTGGCGGCGATGTGGCCACAATCTGCGCACACTGTTACTCCCAATCCTACCCCAACCCCCACATCCCCACCCACGTTCTCCGACCCCCACGGTCAAATACTGCAAATAAAAAGGAATGCTGGAGTCGACCAAACAAGGGCCACCCCACGGCACACACATAAGCGCCCCCAAGCGCACCATCAGCAACGGAGTGTGGGCATGACCAGTGGCCAGCCCGCCAAACCTGCACAGGAAGACGCCTTGGGATACGACCCAGGTGGGGGGAGTGGGGCCTCAGGGCCCGGCCACTTGTGGCATGTGGTTCTTTCTTGACACGATTCAAGAAATTGCGGCACCACGAACGGGGTACCTGAGTAGCCAGGCGCCATAGGTTGGCTTTCCGTTTCGTCGGGGCACTCCTACAGGCACTCCTTCCAACTCCAGGGGTGCTCCTCCAGATACTCTTGGGTGGCGTCTCTCAGCCCCAAGTTGGGGATGATCATGTCTGCCGTGCAGGGGTCGCGAGACACAGGGTCGAAGCTGCCAACCTGATGGACAACCAAGGTGGGACTACAGCCTCAGAACATCCAGCATCTTGTCAACAGTGAGAATCAATGGCACAGATTGGGTTGGCCGCTGTTTTGTATAAATCGTGGAACAAGGAATGATGGAAATCGGACAACAGAATTAAACATAGTAAGTAATTAGTCGGCGGCAGCCATTCAGCAGTCAGGAGTAAATTCAAACCAGGTGGAAAATCGAAGGAAAGCCCCACTGTTGAGCCCAACAACATGATAGGGTGTTTCTTCTTTGGCTGTCTATTGGCACATCACATGATCCAAGTTAAAAGGTTGGATTGGAATCGCCACTGAGGACAGTGCGAGCAAAGAAAACATAAAATATACCAATGCACTGTTAATCAAACTTTCCTCAACACCCTGGTGGAGTGCCTTCGAATCTGCCCAGCTACCAAACTGTGTGTGGTGTTTCAACAAAAAAAACTGACAGAAAACAGCCAGAAGCAGAAATGCGCTTGATGCTGAAAATTCTGGGGCTTGTGCCAATGTTGACATCAATGGGATCACACACAGCCTCTACAAAACACATGGAGTACTGTCCATCCCAGTTTTACAAAAAGATGTCAAATATGCCATAACTAGGATTCAAATCTCATGAACAGGGCCACTTTGGTCACGCAAGAGCTGCAACATGCTCTGCGTTGGCACCCGATCTGCCTGAAGGGAGTGTGTTGCCTTCCACCCTACACTGACCTTCTGCAAGTGTTCCAACAGAGCTGTCCGCTCGTATGACAGGCCTGAGGGAGTGCAGACGGGCTCCCTGAAAACGTCCATCGTCAGCCTGCAGGTGAAGGCGTTGGGTATCTCCTCAGGCTCATCTTGCCGGGCTGCCAACTCGAAAAGGCGGTCCCAGGCCTTGCGATCCTGTGCATGCTTCTCCCGCAGGGCATCGACATCAGTCTGGGAAAGTCAGACACAAGGATTGCTCAGGCAAGGGGCTGCCAACAGTCAAGGCAGCCTTGCACTGCAATCTGCACGCCACTGCACCACTGTAGACAGGCAGCCTGCGAATGGTGGGGTTCACACAGAGAAATGCACAACACAACTGAGAGGACGACCCATTGTGTGTTTGTTGCCATCCTGTCTTCATCCGAAGATTGAGCGTGAACAGCCAGAAAACAAAACAAAAATGGCTTCCAATCGTCTACCAGGAAACAAGGCAGCACAGGAGATGTGCAGACAAACAAACAGAGAGAGCATAACAGGGTGCCCGTGCACTTTTCCTGCATTTCACAGGGGTCAACCATAGGAACTCACAGCAACGTTCAACTCCCTGTCGTGCCTCTCTGATAGCATCTTGTCCAGCTGCTGCCTCAGCATGGCCCGTTCGGCTGCCCGTGCTGCGGCCTGCTGTTGCCAGGCTCCATACTTTATGCGTGCCAGCTCCTTCCATATCTCGTCCTTTATGCTGTCATCCTTCTCCCTGGCAGTCTCAAGAGCCTGCAACCATGCACCATGTGGCCCCACAGGTCAGTGCCGGAGCACAGTCCAAAGAAACAGGACAAATCGAATCAAGGCACAAAAGCAGCCACCGGGAACACATGGTTCTGTGCTGCCCTGTGGCTATTCGTGAACGTGCGCATCTTGTCCAGTGGCAAATCAAGCGATATCAATGATTCAACCAGAGCTTACTTGCACACATGGCAGGACTGTCCAGGGGTCCAATGCAGGCTACAAGGGCTGTACATTCCTGGCCACAACGCCAACAGCCCAAAATTCATGCACAGTAGCGCTTCATTCCCACCTAATGGAACACCTGCAGGGTTCGGACCGTTGGCTGCCTCTCCAAGCAGCTATTGCAGAGCCAGAGAGCACCCCTCACCCCACCCACCACACCACCACCCTCCACACGACCAGCAGCTTGCATTGATTCATTTGTACACTTCCTATCCACTGCAGAGCTGGTGATGCGCGTTGACGCTTAAGGGCCTGGGGAAAACCAGCCTGAGATGGGCCATACTCATAGGTACATAATAATTGACCTAAGGTTTGCAACCAGAGGATAGTGACAAGGCCCAGACCTGCATTCATTCAACATTTTCAGGCAAAGACCGCCCATCCAACCCCCTTACTCTAGAGGAACGACCTTGCATGCACACAGACAGCCGCAGCAACGCACCATCATGGAAGCGGCCAGAGTGACCGACCTTAGCAAGATGAGACACAGCTTCCGTGTAGGCATTCTGCTGCTCCAGTGCCTGGCCCAGAAAATAATGCGCCTGCCATCGCACCCAGCAGCACAGGGGGCCAACAAAAGTCATTTGCAGTCAAACAATACAAGGAACCACCTGGATGACTGCAGCCTAACCAACAAAGCCATCCAAAGTTTTGTTTTGAGCACATTGGCATGGTAGGCAGATGACGGCAACATAAGGCACTGCAATAGGGCAAAGTGAACTGAATGAATGCTCTCCAACACTCTATCCAGCATACTTTCTGCTCAGATGAACTGCCCCATGCAATCTTTCCATCCCAGGGCGTTGGGAAAGCCATACTGACCACCTCACGCCACATTGGCCACCTGCCACCTGGCTGCTGAAAAGGAACCACTGACATGCAAAGATAAAGATGCCAGCGGTGGTATTGATGGCATGCAGTTGTAACTGAAGGTAACAAATTCTGCAAGCGCAGCAAGCAACACGTCCTCCACGATGAATGCTGACAGAGATAAGCAGCCATGATGGAGTTGCTGTTGTTGGAGGATCAGCTTCTTTGATGAGCAAGATCTGATGTAATAGTGGAAGTCCAGTAAGACAGTTGATTGGAGCACTCACCTTGAATTCGCCAGCATTGATTTCCAGTGCCTTCCTGCAATCCCTCTCCACACCTGTCCAGTTGCCCTTCTTTTTGTGGCAGAATGCACGATTCACCAGAGGCACTGCACAGTGGAGCCACACTCACCATGTCACAAGGAGTGAGCCACAGCACATACAGAGACTCTATACAGAGGTGAATGGCAAATATCCAGCACAGTGGATGTCAGCAGACTTTTCAAACTGTACCGCACAGGAAGTGATTATGCAGAGGGACAAGGGTGAAAAGAGAGCCTCTCCTTGGATGGATGGAGCTGCATTTTCCTGCAGGGTGCATGGGTATACAAATGTATGCCGCAGGGGCCGTTAGGTTGGCCAGCAGGAGTCAACTGGCCACATTAAGTTACTCAGGTGGTGGTGCAATGTCTGCACTGTTTTGGTAAACGCAGTTTCATGCACGAGACATTTCAGTCCTGCAAGATGCAAAGGCATCGTTTGATGACACTTCTATTTCCAGCTGGAATGCATACTGCTGGAACACCACCAACAGCTGCAACAAAAATGCAGCAAACAGACGACCATCAATTCTGACTACAAGCACTACATCAACACTGACATCAAGTCTGTCAGACCACATCGAAAACTACATTTGCTGTCTTGTTGTACTGCTTATTATCTATCGCAGGGTTCCAGCACAGATTTCTGCCCTGCACAGGATGCTTTGTAGTAACACTACCCCAGATTTGTCTGTTGCACGTTCAAAAATGCATGGCATGCAAGCTTGTGACACAGCTTCCAGAGCCCTTTGGGCAGTGGTGTTGGTCCTGTTGCAGACCTACAGCTTGATCGAACTTGCCATATGAATACTTGACAAATGACTCTGCACATCCCACATTGGTGCCAAATGCATAGGAATCTTCCACACTCCACTCCCCTCTTCAGTTCCGAATGGATTTCCTGAAGGATGGAGGCCATTGCTGGTGACCCTTTGGGGAATCGCAATAAGTGCATTTTTGTTCCAAACCATTAAACATGTCAACAAGCCCACCCTCCCCTCCTCCTACACCACTTTGCCGCCAGGAGGGAATGTGGAAAGGCCAACCAGCAAAGCAACACTGAGCAAGACACTGACACAAATGCGCATCCCAGTGCTCATGGAGCAAATTTATATCATAATTAATTTATATTATACAGCAACTTATATTAGCAATTTTGTAATGTAATATAATAGTCATATTCGACATGACTCTACAAGGGGCCACGACTTTAGGGCCTGCACAAACTGAGGTGTACCAGCAGGTTTTATGTTCAAGGTGTCAAAGAAATCAACATGAGCAACACATGATGTCCAGTTTGTAATCTCCTACTGAAACCATCACAAAAACTCTGTAAAGTCTGCCAGGCACCAAGGTGCAGGGTGGTTTTGTCTGTGTGGATCTGTGTCTCCAAATTTGTGCCAAGCGCACAATGCCACAAGCCAACAACAGCTGTGGATCAAAGCTGCTGAAGGCTATAAAATCCCACCTGTCCAGCCTGGCCAAAGTGCAAGAGCTTCTGTGTATTGCTGAAGGCACACAAAACATACTCCAATTATGACAAATTCCACTTGCACATTCACAGTCAGCAGGCAGGAGTGATCAACCACTGATCGCTCAGCAGACAAAACAACAAATTCCTTGCCAATAAGCCTTGTGACCAAGCAATGTACACACTGCTGTCAAATTCGGAACCTGAACCAGGTTCCGTGGACACTTGTCCACATCCCAGGCCATCACCAGGGCATGTTGGCCAAGGACGACATGCAACCATGCATCAACAGCCAACCTGTTTGGTGCAACAAGTGCACTACAGTGCAGATTCAGATTGATTAAGTGGCAGGACGCCAAATCCTTCAGATCCTGGTTCCCATCAGCCTTGGAGGGCAGGCTTTGCTCAACGGAAGTGCAGGACATGCAAGGGTGCCAAGACACCGAACCAGGGCCACCATCCCCAGCCTCTGATTGTCTGAGCAGACGCATGCGCCCCCGTTCGACCAGAAGGACGCCAAATCCTCAAACAAGAGCATCACCCTTTAAAGCTATTCAGGACAGGACAAGATGCTCACACAGTACCCCCCCTGCTGGCGTTGGGGTCTGGATTGGGGCGCGAGCCTTCCAGCGGATTCGCAGGCCACCACCTCCAGGGCAGCCAACGCGGAGAATCTTCCACCAGCATCAAATCCCGAGACAGCCCTTGGCAACTCTGCAAACCGCAGGTCACTGCCCACGGCACATGCCCCCACCCAACACACCCTATTGCATTCGCGCCCACCGCTCCGAACGACGAGAAAACGGGGACACGGGGCGCATCGCGGCGAGCAGACGCGAGGACGGCCATCCAGATGGGCAAGACGGCCGCCGCGCAGCGCGCCGGCCCCCACGCCGCGTCCGCCACGGCCACTCCGTCAGAATCTTCCATTCCAAGATTCCAACACACCACTTTTCTCCGCAACCACCGCACACCATTCCCGCCCCGCGCAATGAATCGCTGCCCACCGCGCCCTCTCTCCCCCACTTACATCTGCGGCCGCATCGTATCTCCCCATCCTGAACAGCTTGTTTCCCTCCGTCTTGAGCTGCTCCGCGATGCGCTTCTGGTCCACCGACGGCATCGCCCACTGGCCCCGCGCCCCGCCGCCGAGGGGCTCCGCCGGAGCCGGGCCCGGCGATGGCCCCTTGCGCCGGCGCCGGGATTGGGAATGGCCCGTCTTAAGCGCACCGGGCTGCTGGCCGCAGCCCAGGGGCGCCGAGTTGCGTGGTAACAGGGGGCGATCGATCCAAGGACGGGGACCGATCGTTGAGGCTCGGCTAAAGTATTGGCCTCGACGGGGGGCCGTGGGTGGCGGGGGCCGTTAGGCGCCAAGTTGCGGCTGTCGTGAAGGTGGCAGCTTTGTTGGGCGGAGGGAGGGGCCTGGGGGTGGAGTGTGCGGGGAAGGGGAGGAGGGGTTCTTGTGGGGGCTTGGGTGGGCACAAAGCGAAGGTGCGGGAGAACGTGTGCAGTATGTGGAGGAAAAGTGGTCCTTCGCGTGCCCGGAGGAGCGCGCCCCGGCCCGAGCGCCTATCCTGCGTGAAGAGTTGTTGATGGATGCAAAACGGTGGCTGTCCTCGGTGTGGACCCCACGGACGGCGCTGTTTTTTTCGCACACAAGCTGCTTCGGGGAAAACCAGTGCAACAAAGTACTGTGAGTATCGAGTGATGTGAATATTTTTTCCAAACACATTGTTGCGGCGTTCTCGGGACTTTTGCGGTGTTTTTGAAATTTGAATTGGCGTGGCGCTTGCCACTGGGGCCAGCCATTGGCGTCCTTCAATCCCTTTTCCAAAACTCACCCCTCTGTCCCAAGACTCAGCATGTCTTTCCGATTTCACGCTTTTAAGCGGAGGCAAATTTGCCTCCGTGATGGTGGACAGAGACTGTATCCAAAGCAATGTTGCATGGAAAGGGGGCCGCCCTTCTTTCTTTGATTCTGTGGCGTCCCCCGTTCTGCCAAAAGTGATGGCATTCTTTCACACACAGCGAACACAAATGTTATTTTCCCACAATCCTAGTGCGCTGATATGTTGCAGCCATTACCCTGGAGCAAACAGGAACTTTCTCGCTTGCTAAGCTGCTATGTTTTCTGCGATAGTCTGGACCATTATCCTAGTTGGTTCCAACTGGGATAATATGCTGTCGCGCTGCACGCACAATTCCAATTGTGCGTGCAGCGCGACAGCATACCACATCGTTATGCTGGTGGCAACCTTGGCACCTTTTCTCAAGTCGTTACCAGGAACGTCATGGTCTTCTGTTATCAACGCTGTAGCTGATAGGCAGTGTAAGACATGCGCAAAGACACACCGCCAGATGCTGATGTCGACAGTATGTGACTTCACATGGCACGTGAAGCGTGTGACTTCATCCTGCTGCGGAAGCTCTGGAGGCATTTGTGCAGCAATGCAATGGGACCATTGCAATACAAGCAATAACGAACTGCAAGAAATCGGTATGAAGTCACGGCGAGCTTGTTGATGCGGTTCCTGTCAAAGCTGCTACAAGCCTTGCGCATCAACCCACCAAGCCGATTCGGCAAGTTTGCCCTTGATGCCAATGATGCCAAGGGTGCATGAATATTAAAATCCTAATAATCTTCAAGTTCATCAAAACTACGCCCATTGCTGCTTGTAAGGCCTTGGTGCATGGGCATTGCAGCAACGTTGACAGATGCATGTATTGTTCAGTACGAAGAACCATACAAACCAGATCAAAACTCAACGGTACTTACTGCAAAGAACAGGGTTTTGATGGCAGAATCTGGTATGGTGACGACGATATCTTTCTTGCCAAATGGAGTTCCTTAACTTCACTGCTTATATCGCACACCAATTCCCTCAAGATGCGGCAGCTGCGTAACTGAGTGTGCTCGGGGCGAGGCCAGAACTGGGCCGGAATAAATTCATTGCATTTTGGGTTATATTTGGCGGCCACTTCATTATTACTATCTTGACTGGCCTCTACAAGCACCTGCCAGAATGTGCCATGTCGCTTGCCAGAACACCGACCATTGCTTCGAAAGGCGGGCTGAGCGTCAATTTATACCACTGCCGTTCGTTTTTCCCTCATATTTCAAGCGTATGAATGTATGTTATCCACTTGTGTTCACTGAATGTTGCTGTTCCAAACTCGATTTGTGTTGCACCCCTTCCTAGCTGATCAGCATGATTCATGAGTTGACAATGAAGATTGGGGGTGTTCCCGTCACACCAATCCCCCGTCTATCGCATTGTCGCCAGGACGTCTTATATTCCGTCGCAAATAGCCTGGCATCATACCCTGGTACGGTTTTTGAGTGCGGCACTCCATTCGTGACTGCCTTGTCATCTGTGCAGCCCCTTCGCCATGGGCGCCAACAGATCTCTGTGCTGACTGGCACCTGATCGTGTTTTGCCACGGCAGTGTCCTAAACCCCACGAGGGTTGTCAACAATTGGCATGACTGTGCGCACCTCCCCTGCAGGTCAATGGGGCGCGCACAGACATGCCAATCCTTGAGAAACACCAATCCAAGGACAGGTCCTGTTGATTCGCCTGCATTTGCATCAATTGCTGTCAAAATAACATTGTCAACTCAGCGAGCGATTTATGCTCACCAAGCGCACCAAGGCTGCCAAATCTGTCAGCCCCTAATAAAGCGTGCCACTGCCAACCGGCAGGATCGACGCCCTTCGATTCAAATCAGAGCGGACAAGCAAATTGAAGCGTCTCACAGGCTGGCTTTGGTTCGTGAGGGCTTCTTGCACACCAAGTGGCACGATATCCACAAATAATGTCCCAGTGTACGCGTTGTCTCGCCAACCCCGTGGAGCCCAGCAAGTCCAATGCACAGCAGCCTATGTAATCCCAAACACAAGTTTTCGATGTGAGGAACTCCAAAAAACCTCGAAAACCGTGACAGCTTGTGTATTTAACACGCTAAAATGTCTCAGACTTGGCGCACACCCCGCCATCGAATCTTGCTTCAAAGCAAGATGGTGGCAATTGTGGCGACAAATTGCCACTTCAGCTCCACGCAGCCCCGACTTCAAACAGAAATTGTGTGGCCTCAAAGGCATCAACAAAGGGCCCCGATGATGGCCATCATATCGATTCGACGATATATGTAAGTTATCGAGTAGTTCTTGTCTGTGCAGCTCTCTACCGGCAAGAATCGGGCCAGTCGGCAGTACTGCCATGATGCCGTACTGCAGCCATGAAACCAATTATTATTGCTCAAAGTGCCGAAACGAAGTACAGTTCACTGCCATTCGACTTGAAAAGCTCCTTTCAGTAATCGATACCGCTGTGTTACCACGATATTTTGGCTTGTGTGCGTTGCGAACGTATCCCTGTGCTGGAATTTTGGGATTTCCCATAGTGCATCTGGGGATTCCCTTGCCTATGGAACTGCCCTGGTGGCGTACTCGGGACACCCCATGCAGCGCGGTCATCGGCAGCGACGCGCTTGGGGCCAACCGGCTGCCACACGTGCACAAGTGGCCCGCAAAGCGCCGGTCACCATGTGGTTGATCGAACAGCGTCCACCAATCACTCTACAAAAAAAATCCCAAGCCGCCACAGCCAAAAAAACTCTACAGCTCCCCATTGATCGAACAGCGTCCACCAATCACTCTACAAAAAAAATCCCAAGCCGCCACAGCCAAAAAAACTCTACAGCTCCCCATTTTTTACGCGACACCTGGTTGCCGCCAGCCCTTTGGGTTCCGTGCTGCGCACGGGAGATGGCCGTTCGCGCCCGGAGCGCCCGCCTGCCGCCGGAAGTCAACCGCATCCTGTACGTGCGCAACCTACCCTTCAACATCTCCACCGACGAGCTGTACGATATCTTCGGCAAGTACGGGCCCATACGGCAGGTGAGGCATGCACACGCTGCCGCAGATGGCGGCAAGTTTTGTTGTGGGAGAATAGGAAAAGTTGTGGAATGGGCGTCCACACCCAAGAAACAGAGGTGGGAGGCTCATGTTTGCCGCTGAAGGTGGTCTGGGTGTCAGCGAACCGATGGCAAGGAGAAAAGCAAACGTGGAATGCCAACCGGGGTGCCTGTGTAGTTGTTGGGACAATCAAGCACACGCACTAGGAAAGCCAGTGGCTGGGGCCTCCAAAGAATAGGAACAAGCTTAGGTGCTCACAAGTAGCACCGATTTGAGCAGAGGCATCTCCAGCCGGCGCCGATTCCTTGTCAAGAAATTCCTTGATCAAGAATTCCTTGGTCAAGAAATAGGCAAAGATGGCCTCTTAGAACTGTTTCCTTTGATGTGGAAGCATCAATTTCAAGAAGAAATCCAGGATAGACAGATAGAAAAGCAGTAATTTTGATGTTATGCAGCACGCAGAGAGGTTCTCTAAAGGAGGGTGGCACAAGGGCATGGTGCGAATCCATTGAAACCAAAAGGGATGGATGAAGACCATCGTGTTCTGTGCTGGTGTATCTTTGGATCAAGTAAAGCGGTCGTAATTGTGCTGACTGAAGTCACTGCGTGGCCCATAGCCCTCCTCCCATGCTTGAAAAATTGGGGATGGCCCAAAGCTTGCTGTTACAAGTCGCTTATGCAGTTCTTTTGTGCAAGTGCTTTTGTTGACGATGCAGCCACATCTCTCTTCATCAAATTGTTTATGTTCTGTGGCACCTGCCGTCACACGCCTTTGAAACAAGGCTGGTGAGCAGAAAATGAGCCAGCCTTGCAGGCTTTGAGACATGGGCTGTTTCCAATATATTAGAAACTGTGTATTCAATTGTTTTTGTGTGCGTGTTGTCCAGATTCGAGTGGGATGCACCAAGGAGACAAGGGGGACAGCCTATGTTGTATATGAGGTGAGTAATCCTCACGCTGCTGCTTTTGCTGTTGCACAGAGGGCCTGTGAATGCATGCTTTCCTTCACTTTGTTTTAGCATGAACGGGAAGCTGCCCTCCTGCTCTGTGTGGGAGGGGGCTTGATCGATTTCCATATCAGTGCCAATTGTCGTCTGTAGTTGTGGTTCCCAAACAAAGCAGTGCTTGTTTGCTGGATGCCCACTTCTGTGACATATCGCTGTGTGGATGCAGCTATGTTGACATATGTGTGCCACACTGTGTTGCTGCAGCCCCAAAACCATGCCGTGGGCACCTGCTTCTGTACACAGCCTGCGTACTGCCAGATGTCATGGCCATCTGTGTGCTGAATGTGTTCCTGCATTGTGCTGATCTTCAGGACATATACGATGCCAAGAACGCTTGTGATCATTTGTCAGGCTTCAACGTGCAAAACAGGTACCTGATTGTGCTGTACTACAACCCCCAGAGGCAAACCAAGAAAGTGGGCACAAAGGAGAAGGAGGAGGAGATCAAACGCATGCAGACGAAGTACGGAGTGGATGGCGAGCAGCATGCCAGGAACCCACAAAGGCAGCAGCCGGCGCAGGCAGCTGCTCACTAAGGAGGAAATGCGAAGAAATCAGTCCCTCGAGTTTTGGCTGTGGTCTGATCCGAAAAACACTGCAATGAGACATGGAACATCCAAGGCCTGGACGTGCATGAAATGGGCGCAGCACAGCAGACGGGAAAGGGCGGCGCGATACTGCGAGCAGCAGGCACGTTTTGCCTACCTGATATAGGCTGAGTAGGATTCTGCAAGTCAACAATTGGAAGTGCTGTGGCCAACGGAACCGGGAGATCGTTTGGCACGTTCACAACTGCTCTTCACTGTTTCTGCTGCGAATTATCAGCAGCCAGTGCTGTGATGTTGCCCCTCAGGCCTGCACGCGTGTCACTGTGACTGGCCGTCATGGGCGTGATAATTTTTGGAGGCAACTTGCTCGCTTGCAGACGGAAAGCATGGTTTGTGGGGGCATTGGACGGGGGGGGCCTGCAGTCCAGCAGTACCACGAGGTTCTCTGCATAGAACGATAGAGGCGAATGGCCCGCTCCCTTGCACATAAAAAGCATGATTGGATGGCGTTAGACAGGGGGGCACCTGCAGTCTTCTTGTGGCACGGGATGCTCTTCACGCATTTGGATTGATGCAATGCAGCGCACCTCCAAAGGGCTGTGCAGCACTTGAACCCTGAATGTGAGATGTGGCAATAGAAGAGTGAAGCAAGACATCAGTGCAACGGAAGACATGGCTGTGCATGTCGATGTGCATGCCTAAACATTGTAGAATGGATGGTCAATGACGTTACACCGGGGCCTGATGACCTACGTTTGATGACCTTCAGGCCTGCAGGTTGGTCCCGTTATGAACAAACTGAGCAGTTCTGGCCATGGCGGATTGGCACCGCCTCGGTTGCACCGGGGCGCAGGGCTGGACCTTCGAACTTGCATCTGGTGGAACTGGCAGAACCAATGATTGTTAATCATTGCGCCACTGCAAGTGCCGCTGAAGTGGATGCTCAGGTTGCATATTTCGCAAGTCGCACTCCAAGACTGTTGTAATTCCATATTCGGAACGTGCACACGCACATTTCGTGCACGATTACGCACTGTAGTTACTGTAGTTACGTACTGTAGTTACTGTTATTACTGTAGTACATACAGGAATTGAGTGCTGCGCGTTGGCGTTGCGTCCATCAGTGTTCCAAGCATTAATCCTTGGATTCCCACGCTTGCACCCCAATGAGGTGCTTACACAAGCCTTTGCGACGTGTGAGGACGAACTCATTAAATGCTCTCTCAAAACTTCGCCCATGGGCAGGCAGGGTGCCGCCAGGCCGCAAAACTCCTAACCCGCGTCCAACAGCTGGGCACCGATCACATGGCCCAAACCATCGAGCCACTGGGCGGCTCTGCCACCGTGGGTCTCAAAAATAGCCGCTGTCGGCCTCGATGCACATGCGACAAAATCTGTTGGGCGAGCGTGCCGGACTCATGGCACACGCTGCCGCGATTCTAGGTGTAGTGCGGCTGCACGGGGGGCGCCTCCAGCAGGGTGATGTCCGTTGGGCAGCAGCGCGCGGAGGTGCGGAAGGCCAGCATGCACGCCTCCGCGACGTCCTCTGGCGCCATCAGGCGCCCCTCGATTGTTTCCGCTAAGCTGGGGTCCTTCTCCACCATCTTCCTGTGGAACCGTCGCGACAGATTTTGACAGACAGCCAGAATGTAGGGAAAAAAGAGTACAGATGGAAGTTGGATAGAAGCTGGAATTCTCCTGGAAGCAGCACGCACCAAGACAAGCAGTGTGGCCGTAAGAATATTGGACATACCCGGTCAACTTTAAATGAACGAATTGCGCAAGTCAGGGCAACTCTGTATCTGCGTCGTCGTAGGGCACAGATCTGATCTGCGAGTGCCTGATTTAGCATCACCACACATCTGATGGGCAGTCGGAGGCACACAACGGAATCACACAGGACCGATTAGCCAACCGTGGGTGCAGCACTTCCACGCAGGTCTAACCCAGCTCAGTAAGCGCCAGATGGCATATTCCACCTCTTCTCATTGCGTTCGCACACCGTGAACAACGCCACGGGCGCCGATGCTGCATTCCTTGCTGCGCCTTGCTCAAGAGGCCCAGGGGTTGACCATCACTCACTCAGTGAAACAAATGCACGAAACAAGAAAAGCGGCTGCCTGATTATGCCACCCAACATTCTCCCAGCACTTATTTCTTGGGTTGTCAGACAGCCTCCAAAGCACAAAAATGCAATGCACTGATGCATGGACACAGTGCAGAATTCAGAATGCTGGAAACGCACCTCGCCATGTCTGTGTACACACAGCCCGGGTGAACGCACACAACCTTCACGTTCTTGGGTCTCAGCGTGGCCGCGCAGGAATGCGACCATCCCTTCAGTCCGTGTTTGGTCGCCGAGTACACGCCCCACATTGCAGAGGGCACGTGGCCGTAAACGCTCGCCACATTGATGATGACACCGTCCCTCTTTTCGGCCATTTTGGGCGCGAGCAGCCGAGTGAGGCGTATGGGCGCAGAGAGGTTGATGGCGATCATCTGCGCGGGCCGAAACCAATCGGGTTGTCGCCAAATGAAACAATCAGTCACGCCCCAGAGTCGCTGGGACAAACACATCGGACATGCGTTGGGAAAGAAATTTGATAGCTGAAAGTTGAGTTTAGAGTTGAAAGCTGTGCAGTTCCACCACAAATAACTGTTGTCCACCTGCTGCCTCGACATCCTTAATGACTCGACATCAAGTTGGGGGACGTTGTGGCGTCCGTACGCAGCCCTGTGGTGCGCATGGTTTGCGTGCATGTACATGATGACGGTGCACGCAAATGGCCTTCATGCCCTGCTGGCATCGACGCATCGGGAATGGCGCGCGTCGGCGCGGCACCCGGCGGTGTCAGGCCCCCTCCGCAAGCCGCGAAGCCGAACCAGCGCCTCCAAACACCCACTCGGACAGGGGCCCGTTTCGTTCGCCGCCACCTCGCGATGCGCATCACACGATCGACCGGCCAAGTCTCGGCCCCTGGGAAGATCCTCACAGACGGACGGTGCCGCTCTCTGGGCAGACCCCAGGCAACACGCAATCAAAGCCATGTCAATGGCGCAGGCGATGACGGCCCAATATCCGGGCAAGAAAAACAACTCCTATCAGGTCTCCCATCGCCCTCCCTCCAAGCGCGAATCTCGAACGCCCGCGCACTTCCCTCCAACTCCACCCTACTCCCTAATTCGGAGCCCTACCACCCACCACCCATGGCGCAACGGAACGCCCCACGGATTGACGGACATCCCATTGCTCCCAGACACAATTCACCCCAGCCTGCACACCACCTTCTCACAACGCCGAAAAGAGCCTCGCCTAGATTCAGGAGGGGATTCCCTTGCATGTCCTGTCCCTCTCTGAAAGACAAATTCCCTTCGCAACAAATCTTGCCCCCCCACCCCACCCCACACACACACACACCCCACACCCCGCCCCCACTCCGTCTCCCCACCTTGTCGAAGTCGTTCGGATCCCCTTCTAGCGGCGAGCTGGCCGGCACCGTGTACGCCGCGTTGTTCACCAGCACATCAACGGTGCCGCACTTCGCCAGTGCCTCCTCACCCAGTGCGTCGATTTCCCCGGGATCGCCCAGGTCGGCCGCGCGGGTCACGACCTCGCCGGCGCCGGCCTCTGTGCACGCCTGGGCGGCGCTGGCAAGCGCCGGTTCATCGCGGGCGACCAGCATCAGGCTGGCGCCCTCCTTGGCGAATGCCACGGCGACGGTCATGCCGATGCCGCGATTCCCGCCCGTCACCAGGCACCATTTTCCTCTGAGCATCTTCGGCGCGGGCGGAGGCTAGCAGGGGCCTGGTGGCGGTGGGTGGGCACCCTTGCGGGGCTGGTAGGTCCCTGTTGCGGTGTGCAGTCCCTGCGACAGTCACACTTCGGGGTATTGAGGCTGGCCCCCTTCTCTTATACTTCCTTTTCGTTTGTGCCGGCATGGGCCCTTGGGCAGCGGGCCGGTGTGGGTTCCCGCGGTTTTCCGTGGGCCGTCACTCTTTCCGATAGTTGAGTGTTCTGCGTTGGCCTTCGTCACCGTCCACTAGGATTGCACGTGTCAGCGCCCCTAAAAGGCGACGGGCGGAGTTCGACGGCCGTCGAGGCAGTGCGAATGAGTTCAGTGAACTTAGTTTGTATTTCTCAATAGATTCCAATGCACCAATCACCGACTCTGCTTTGCTCAGGCAAAATAGGAAGCTGACGGCTACCTCATTGCCTTGTTCTGTAAAACATCATGATGATGATGATGAATGAGTTCAGAATTCGACGAGGCAGTGTCGGGCAAACGGGATTGACGGACCCACCGATGCCAGTAAGAATGGGGGATGTTGCCAGCGGTTGTGAACTGCTTTTGGTGGGCTCCGGGAGCAGTGAGCATGACGTGAATGGCGATGTGTAGGAGATGACATGCCTTCCTGCGTCGTGGACAGACGCTCTTGTTGATCGCTCAATCGACTTGACTCCATCATAGTTCCGTCCCACATCCCGACTCGCCCATGGCAGACTACTGGAAACCCAATTTCTGCCTTACCGGTCTCCTTCAACCCCCCCCCGTGTTCCCCACATGACAATACATTACATGCACACAGTTTGGTGTCCTTCACCTTACTAAAACAAGACCCGATAGGCGACCCACTTGAACGTGCCCTCGCTTCGCATAGTACTCAATGCCACTCTGATGTTGACTCAACCCAGAATCAGCTCCCCTTTCCTCGTACTCAACTCCCTCTCCATCCCACAGCTAACCGAACTCACTCTATTAGGGTGGGCCGGGCGGGTGCGAAACAAGATAAAGGGGGGCGCCAAGGGTCGCGCCTAAATAGCCGCTCCCACTTGCCGCCAAACTCCCCGCCAAACCCAAGGGCCAGCTTGACCGGTCCCCTTGGCTGCGTCCAAGTTACAAGGCTCAACCCAACTGCCCTTGGATCCGCTGGGCAGAACTGACCCTGAGTACAGGGGTGACAGAAACCAGCCTAGTGATGGCCCCCAAACTGGCCAAAGTCACGGAACGGCCCAGACTGGCCGATCCGCGCCCACCCATCGTCGTCCTAGGCAGAAACTCATTAACAGGATAGTTAATTATATTTCTGCCTTACCGGTCTCCTTCAACCCCCCCCGTGTTCCCCACACGACAATACATTACATGCACACAGTTTGGTGTCCTTCACCTTACTAAAACAAGACCCGATAAGCGACCCACTTGAACGTGCCCATTCACTCTGGGGCATGGTGCAGCTCCTCCGGAGCGAAGGCGTGGTCATGCCTTGGTCACACTCGGGCCGATGACGCCCCTCCGGGGCAGAAGATGTGCCCGTACTGCGCGTGTAGGTCACGCGCAGTAATCGTCATCCATCCAAACAGGCGGTAGTCCCACTCGGACGGCAGCCGGTACACGTCAATGTACTTCCACATGGCGTTACTGCGCCACTCGCCCCACGCGCGTATCCGCCCCTCCGGCACCTTCAGCGAGTAGCAGGCGCTGGCGCCCCCCGCGCGAAGGCCGTGATGATCGAAGGCTTCGGGCGGAGGGGTAGGGAGGGCGCGCAGGAGGGCGGGGAACCAGCTGGAGATGATGGGCGCGGACGGGTCGGACTCCCCCGGCAAGGTATAGAAATGCTCCGAAGAGGAGCCGGCGTCCGCCCACGCCTTGTCCCGGGCCGCAGACCAGCGAAGGAAAAGATCGATGACCACCGGTGCGCCGCTGGAAGGCCAAGAGCGGCAGCGCACCCGGGGGTCGGTATTGGCGCTGAGCTTGGTCCGTCGCTCGCGAAGGACGATGAGGCCATTCTCGAGGCGGAGGTCGTCAAGGAGGATCAGATGTCCGCTCTGCGCCCGATTGAAGAAAACGAAATCAAAGACCGCGGAGCAAGCCGCGCGAAGGAGGTGCAGATCCCCCGTAGTCAAGCCGAACTCCAGGATGGTGCGGAGGACCTCCGTCGGAACCGGGCGATGGGAATGGGCCGGCTCCGGGTCGGCCCGACGCCAAGCCTTGGTGAGCCGCCGAGTGACCGAATCGAAGGCGGAGAAGTCGAGGTAGCCCATCGACTGATGCACCATGGAGATGGCAGCCAGGTACTGGGGGAGGCTGCGAACGCCGACGCGACCTTCCTCCCGTAAGAAGCGGATGTAGCGGTAGATGGACGATGGCCGCGCGGGAAGCGCCTCGAGGTTGTGCGCCGCACAGAAGGAGGCGAACTTGGAGTATTTGGTATGCATCGACTGCCGCGTGGATTCCGTGTAGAACGAGAGGAATTCGGCCTGCATCCACGACCGATCCGAAGACGAGAGGCCATCCACGTCGCACCCATAGAGCGGGTGGTCCGGAGGCATGACCTCCACCAGGAGAGGGTCCGCGACCGGCGATCCGGGGGAGGACCGTGGCGTCACAGCGCCTGGGTCGGACGCGGCAGCCGCGGGCGAATGTGGAAGGCCCGCAGATTCCACCGAGGGGGAGGCAGATCGGCCGGGAGAGACGGATCCCCCGGCGTGAACATTCCCGCCTGGCGAGGAATGGCCATCTCCCGCGCGGCCAGCCGCCGCAGCCGCGGGAACCACATCGCCGACGGCCAGTCCGGAGCAAGGACGACCGCTTCCACCTCCGGGTGCGCTGTCAGGAACGCTGTAAGGCGCGGAAGGAGCGACCAGGGCGGGTTGGCCCAATTGGCTTCGCCCGTCCAGTCTTGGAGGAATGCATCCACTCCCGCTGAAAGCGGCTCGTGATGCCGCGAATTGAACTTGGGGCAGAGGGAATTCCGTTGGGAAGCGAAACGGTCGATCGTCCGGGGTCCAAATTGCCGTGTAATGGCCTGGAAAATGGCCGGGTGTAGGCGGTAGTCCTCCCCATCCGTGACCCGCGAGAGGCGGTCCGGAATCGTATTGAGCTTGGACGGGATGTACTCCGGATCGATCAAGAGGGCGCGGGCCGAACAGATCCGCTGCAGTTGGCGGAGGGGCCCCCGAAGTTGGTCGGAATTGGTCGTCATGCTGCGGATGCAAAAAAGGACGACCTGCGAATCCACTAGGAGGCGCAGCCTGGCCGAGATCGAGGGGAAATCGAGCGGAAAAAACGCCCGAATGGCCAGGGCCACCGCCTGCATTTCACGCACATTGATGTGCGTCAAAGATCGATCGAAAAAACCCCACGCCAGTTGCGGGCGATCAGAATGGGGGGGCGTGAAAGTAGCGCCCCAGCCCCGCAAAGAGGCATCCATTGCAAGGGTGCCCGCAAAGGGGATCGCGTCCGGATTCAGCGGGCGACCCTCACACCGATCAATGTTGATCCAAGCCTCCAGATCGAGGCACGCCTGGGGCGACAAACGGAGGCGATCCCGCCAAGACCGCTTGGTGCGGAGGACCCCATAAAGACCTTGCAAGAAAAACCGAGCCAAAGGGAAGGCCAAATAAAGGGAGATGGCCTGCACGCAAAACCGTGCCAAATCTCGAGCCACCACCCAGCGCCGTTCCCGAAGAATTTGGGCCCGGGTGGCAATGGATGCCGCTTTGTCCATCGGAACCGAAAAACGACAAGTGCGAGTGTCGATCACAATCCCCAGATGCCGCTTGCGTTGGACCGGATCCCACTGACATTTCCGGTCCTTGAAGCGAATTCCCAACGCCTGGAAAATCTCCCTCACCAAGCTGGACCATTCTCACAGTTGGTCCGGATCACTCATAGCGGCAAGAAAGTCATCCAAATAAGCCAAGATCACAGCGGGATTGGCGATGGAATAGCGCAGAAAATAGCGCTGAATCGAGTCATTTCCCGCTAGACAGCCGAAACGAAACCGCTGCGCCACCTTGGCACACGATCGGGGTGATCGAAGGAAACGTGTGACAACGAGCATCAAATGAGTGAAAAAATAAGGAGCCAAAGATAGTCCAAAGGGCAGCGCCCGACATGCGAACACTTCACCTCCCATTCTGAATTGAAGAAAGCATTCATCAGCGAGACGCATACGCAAATGGTGATATGCGTCCTTGATATCAAACCCTACTAAAAAATCCCCCTTTTTCAACAAATGACCAAAATCCCGAAGCCGTTCATATCTTAATCCCATTTTCCGGAGATGGCGTTTAACGCGGCGTAAATCGATGCACAGCCGGTATTTCATAACGCCATCCTCCCGCCCTTTCTCTACCAAAAAGGCGCGCAAAATGCGCGACTGAGGGCCGGGAGCTACCTTGACGATCGCCCCCGTAGCCAAGTACTCCTCGCGGAGGGACGCCCAACCCGCTTGCTCCTCCGCCGAACGGATTGGGTACTCGCCCAGGTCGAAGGGCGGGGGAGGGCCCTGCGGGCCCCAAGGCAGCGGAACACCCGAATGGATCCAACGTAGAACGTGCGACGGCGCTCCAATCCTCCGCCATGCTGAGAGCCGGCCGCGGGTGCGATTATACGGGAAGTCGGTCACGCGTCCGGAGATGGACGCGCCGCTTGAGGGGGATTGCGCCTCTTCCCGCGCTTCCCCGACTGGCCGCTCGAATGGGGAGGAGGATCGCCGCTCCCCGCCTTGGATGCTCGGCTGGCCGCGGCCGCCTTGGTTGCAAGCTTGACCTCCTGGGTCAAAAGCTCCTTGCGGATGGCGCCGAGGGTGCCGTCGATGATCTCGGTGGTGAAACCGCCTTCGGGCTCGCTGAGGCGGATCTGGGCTTGCAAAGCCCGCCAGGATCCCTCGAGCCCCGTGCCGCGATGCTTCGCGTGCACTTGATGAAGGCGCAGCTGGTCGACCTGCCTCTCGGTAATGGCCACCGAGGCGTAGACGTACGGGAGCAGTAGATCGCGGATCGAAGGCGGGAGGCTCGGATGGGCGACCAGGTCCACGAAGGCCGCCGTGTAGTCGAACTGCCACGCGACCCACGGAGCCCAGCTCGCGTACTCCTGGAAGTAGCCGGAGTTGGGTCCCAAGGCCGCGGCGACGGTTTGGCCTTGACCAGTCTCCCGTACGTCGAACCAGGCCGGGAAGGACGTGAAGTCAGGCCTGGCGACGCGGTTGTTGACTGACCGCGGGAGTAAGCGGGGGTCGGAAACCCACGTGAGCTCTATGGGTCGGTCAGGGAGGCGCTGGTTGAAACGAAGCGCCTGGGCCCGCAGCCACTGTTCGGCAGGGCTGGGGTTCATACAGGAAGGACTCGGCGCGGAGGCCGGAGAGTCGAACCACTCGGTGGTTCCGGGTTGTGCCAAGGTTGGCGCGAAGCGAAACAAGATAAAAGGGGGGCGCCAAGGGTCGCGCCTAAATAGCCGCTCCCACTTGCCGCCAAACTCCCCGCCAAACCCAAGGGCCAGCTTGACCGGTCCCCTTGGCTGCGTCCAAGGTACAAGGCTCAACCCAACTGCCCTTGGATCCGCCGGGCAGAACTGACCCTGAGTACAGGGGTGACAGAAACCAGCCTAGTGATGGCCCCCAAACTGGCCAAAGTCACGGAACGGCCCAGACTGGCCGATCCGCGCCCACCCATCGTCGTCCTAGGCAGAAACTCATTAACAGGATAGTTAATTATATTTCTGACAATGTTGGTGCACATTTCCCTGGCACGCGAACGTCTCCCGTCAGTTCACAGGGTCCCATGCTTAGCACAAATGCCAAAACCACCTGCGACCAGTACATCTGTTCGTACCTACACTTTGGGCATCGTAGGGCGCACCTCCTAGGCGTCATCCGCATAGTTTCAAGTTTTGCGGGGATGGGAGCAGTGCTCCTTTGCTGCAAGCAAGTGTTTCCTGCCAAACCAACCGCTGGCCAGTCCCGTGGATCAGGCCAGCGAGCAAACCTGCTTGCGGGGCTCGGTGAAAATCAGACAGCAATTCAGCCATTCATTTCCAGCCATCTTTTGCATCCGGCTTGCGGCGTTCCCGTGGTCGCCGAATCGCGCTGCCCTGCAGCTTATGAATTCTGTCCATTACATTTGCCCATACACCACCCGAACAGAGCCCTTCGACCCTGCAGGCAACTGCGGGCATTGCATCGTTGTTCACAGAAATTGGAGCACCTAAAAAAGCCCCGTTGCATAGCAACTCGACAACTCGAGCAACTCAAACAAAACAGACCTGCATCACATTTGACCACCCAGACGGCCCATGACCGCACATCACTGTTCCACATATTCTATGGCACAGACGAGACACTCTCAAAAATCTTCACTGCGATGAAGGAGCCCGTCGTTGAACATGTCTCCTCTAAGCTAAGCAGCCATGCTTCGGCTCCGTCACACGTAGAACATAACGTTGCGAATGCTGTCATGGAACTGGGTGAATTGCTGTCCAGAGCCGTAGCTGGCTTCCGAGCTTGCGTCATCCGATGAATCACTCTCCATGAGCAGCCTGGCCCGGAAGGCGGCGTGGTGGGCATAGTAGGCTGGAGGCACGACGGAGACGGACCTAGGCGCCACACGCGCGCCTTTCAGCAATGTGCAACTGAAGTTGAACATCAGAGGGCGGAAATCTTCCATGTGCAGATAATCCGAGTCTACGCGCGCGGATGGAGCATTAGAACAACTGTAGAACAGCACCCAAGCAACTGCGTGCAGGACCACGCAGTGGGCAAGCACCCTGCTGAACTGCAAACGTTCTGTGCCTGTGTGGCATTGAAGACGCCGCAGTTGTCGGAGCTGCAGGGACTTGTGAAAGTGATGTGATCTGATGGTCGACATTACGGCATACCGGTCATGCTCTGAGACACGCTGCGCCATTTGCGCACGCTTTCGTTCAATTCAACACGCCTGAGACACAGATCCAAGTGCGTGAAAAGGCCAGTCCTTTGTCATGGACAGTGTTGCGCGATTTGGCTGAATATGGCCATCTACAGTCAGTCAAACGACACAGTTGCTTGGCGCGGGGCTGAACACCATTTCCCGGGCACCACAAACCAAGTTTCCCAATGTCATCGAATAACTAATGGGGCATCCCTGTGTCGCGTTTCAGCAAATTAGATCAAAATGGATCTGAGCACGCAACACTCGCAATTGATGTGCTAATTTAGTAATTACTGTACACATTTCTTCGCTTGGTGTAACGACAGTTGCCTGCATTGCACAATTTCTGCAGAGGTCCCCGAAATCCCAGAGCAAGGTGCGCCTCGACCTTGCAACACTTGAGGAAACAACGCGGCCACAGTGGCCACCCACCTAGTGCATCTGCAGTACAGGTAGCACAGCCAGTACGTCATCAGCTCAAGGCCATCTTGGCCGTAGTTGTTCTCATCGACCAGAACCCGGTAGTGCGTTGGCCGGCTGGTGCCCTTGAGGCCCGCGTGGCTGTTCAGGAAGAAGTCGAAGCCATCCGGGCTCGTTATCGCGGTGTCCACAATGGTGCCCGCGTTCACGTTGCCGCTGTTGTCCGCCTCCGAGTCGCTTTCCGGGAACAGGCGCGTGTGATGGCGTTTCTGAACCACGATGAAGGTGATGGCTGGATTGTATGTGCCGTCGTCCAGCTCTAGGCACGCCTGTGGGAGAGGAGGCCGAGACACGCTTGCCACCAGGGTGCGCCACTGTTCTTGATTACCAAGTGTTACCATCACACTCGCGATATCGGGTGGTATGAGCTTGCATTGGGCTGGTGATACGCGCTATGCCACAAGCAAATCTGGCAGCAGCCACTGACACCATATGGAAGCCTGGCTGTGATGGAGAAAGGGTTGTGGGACATATCTGAGACGTGCTGCCACGCAGCGCAGCACGATGTCTTCCTCACATCCACCAGGCTTTCTCAAACTACGTAACGGTGCCTATTCTCCTGATGAAAACTGTTGCACCTTTTCTCCACTGCCTCGTAACAGCCCACCCCTGTTCGCTACACGGCTGTTCTTGGCAGCCTTGCGGATTGGCATCAATTGGCATCAAGTAAAGAAAGGGCAATGCCATTCTATCTCGAATTTGAACTGTGAAGAATGTCAGTCAGCTGCCATACGCACACATGCGCATGCAGTTGTGTGACAAAAATTTCGACTACATTACATCCAATGAATAACATTGCTTAAAATTTTGTTTCCATTACATCCAATGATTGTCATTGCTTGACATTTTGATTCCAGTACATCCAGTGATTAACAATGCTTCACATTTTGATTCCGTTACATCCAATGATTGACATTTTGATATGGAACAGACATGTCATGCACCTGTGCAACTTGTGTACTACATGATAGCAGCCACACTTGCTGCTGAAACTCAGTAGAGCCTGGTCGGCAACAACAATTCACAAGCTGGTGACCAGGGAAAACACTGTCACAGCACACTTCACCAACAGCAGATTTGCAACCATTTAAAGTCAGGCTTCCTGTACATAGACGGCCCTCCTAACGGCAGGACCCATCCACTCACCTTTCTGATACCGCTGTACTCAACAGCCAGGACGTCCATGAACTGCCCTTCAGACACCCCATCCCTGTACATTATGATGCTCTCCGGCTTAAGTCCATTGTTGCGTTCGTAGAATTCCAGGAGCAACTCCTTCACGGGAATGTCGAAATCTGTGATGGTCTCTTGCCCTGGATCCAGCAGCCTCACCCGACACCCATACTGGGAGGCATCCCTTGGGCGCATTCACCAAACAGAAATCACCACACGGACAGCTTTCATACAAACCCACACTATAACTGAATTATACCACTAGTTATTAGCACTACCAATGTTAGTTCTAATGTGTGAGTCGGAAATACCGGTACTACTTGTTAGCACTAATTAGATCATACCAATTAGTTGCGTTTTACAAACACGCTGCCCCAGAGTGTGTCAGATGGACAACAAAGCGGGTCTGTCACTCCGCTGCCTCACACTGGTGAACCAATGGGAACCAAAACATCATCAACACAACACAATTTTCCCCTCTTTTAACATGACATGAACAAACCTGAAAACTATGCGAAATGGAATAGAATCTGCCAGTGAAATGAAGCATGACATGCACCCAAGCTTGGAAGGTTATGGGCGCGGTTCGACTGGTCTTGTACAAATCATGGTTTTTAAGGCAGCCGCCCATAGGTTGGAATGCTGCTGACACGAGCGCAACTTCTCCAAAATGTGGTGTGTGTGTGTGTGTGCGTGTGTGTGAACATTACTTGACACTCACTGGAGCAATCAGCCAACGATATGTGCCCACCATGAGCAAGTGCTGGCGTGTTTCGATTGGTATCCATCACTAAGTCAGGCTCAGCAAAAACCAGATTCTGTCCTTTCCTTTCCAACTGCAAGTATGACTGGGCACTGTACTTACAATGTCAAGCTCCCCACGACTGCAGCAACCGATGGCGCATGCTCGTGCCCATGGCTGCGAGGGTGAGTGACATCCGCGCCGAGTAGCAAGAATGGACTTCTCTGGTTAATGATTGGGAGGCCAGCGCCACGCACATCAAGTATTGCACAATTTGAGCCACCCAGCTTGGCGTTAATTTTCATGCAAAGGTTCGAGCAGTACTGGTCCAGAAATTTTCCTCCCCCTTTTCTCGCGCTCCTGCCAATGCCTGCGTTCGGGGCGCAGACACACTGACTGGGGATTCCCAGCACCGAGTCAGAAGACATTTTGACCTCACGGTAGTAGTCCTTGGCTGCAGCCACAAAGCAATGCCAGCACATCAGCGCATCTGGATCAATGGTGTTGGGAATTGATGGGAAACCGATTTTTTTCCAGGGTCGCAAGATACCATGGGAGGGCATGTTTCTCAGTAAAAACACAGCAGCAAGTCAGGACTGGAAACAACAGCTGCCACACCTGAATTGCAGTTTTATTTTTGATTCCAGAGGTGGCATCATATCCACAACTTACAAATTGTGCTACAGGATCGCCTTCAATTTGTCATCATGTGAACTTGCAGCGTTTTTTGGACACATGTTACACACTGACATCAGCGGAGTGGGGTGCCATGCCACGGTCGAGCAACATCGCACTTGACCACAATGTAAAACAAACCGAATGGAAAAGGAAACCTTCAGTTCCAACAGTCATGGCATTCACACACTGAAATAGCACAAATTCCATGGCTGCATTTACACCAGATAGGCTGCTCAGAAACAAGAGCAGCGGTCACACAAGGAGGTGTGGCTCACCATCGGCAGGCAGTAGAGCGATGATTATGTTGGGATCCCTGCCAAACCGTGCCCTGGCCATTCGCACACCCTCGCCCAGCTCAGCCTGCACAACTGGCTTGTCCCTGGCCTGGTGCACAACGGGCTCCCCAGGCACCTGGATGCCTGTTCGTCTTGCTACCTGTCAGCAACCAAATGCCTTGATAGGTTGGCTACTCATCATGCCAACAATGGTCAAGGGCCTGGCTATGCCCAGTGGATGAGAATGTAATCCGAATACGGCCCTCAAAAATCCTGAACAAAACGGAAACAAGACCCGTTCGGATGCCTGTATGGACATCCACACTGTGTAAGGACCTCGTTCAGCCCTTTGCAAGCAGATATGAATTCAACGACTTCACTCACAAGCTGCTGACAAGAGAAGCACAAGCAGCTGCATTGGCCGTGGATCCAAAGCAAGAAGCTCGTCGTCGCTGACAAGCTCCAAGTGCTTCGGACTGCACTGCGCAGGCAGCTGTGCTCTGAGCGATTCCCTCAGCACCTGCTGGAGCTTGTCAAGAAAGCCCGCCAAGCTGTGCTCCTGGTCTGCCACCTGGAGCTCGTTGGGGTTCACAAAAGAAACCAGAACCCAGCTGCGGATCTGGCCCGACCTCAGGAATTGGACCCCATTGACCAGGTTCCAGGCCCCTTGGGTGCCCACATCAATGCAGTCGGGCCGCTGGTAGCGCAGGTGGGGTTGGGGGAGGACGCGGGCATCCACCTGAGGCACACAAATTTGAGTCATTTCTGCTTCTTGAAGGGAGGTCAGACTCATGGGGCCGTTCTTGAGGACATGCTGTGGACCAATACAGTCTGTGGGTTATAAATATGAAGGTTTGGATGCGCTAAATGGTTGAGGTAAAAGTGCGGGCTGCACATATCGGAGTGTGTCACCTGGGGTGTTGTCTGTCAATCCTGGCAAATCCAAGCTGAGGTTGACAAACCTGTGTTGCAGCCTCAGAGCTACGTTCCAGATGCTTCATTCATACCCTCCTTCATGATATCCACACCATACTTCTTGCAGCAGGGCGCTGAAATTCAAGGGGCTAATAGAATTTGGACACAGGACATGTTACATCCGATGTAGGTAGTGCACACGTTGACTTGCCCTGCCTTGCAGGCCATAGCGCTCATGATGTATTGCTTCAGGACAAATCCACCATGTATAGTCTCCTAGTTGTGCAGTGGCACCTGTATTTGTGGCCATTGCAGTGCCAAAGCAGTTGGGTTCATGACCAGCTTGGAACAAGATCTCCACACTTGCAATGACAAGATATGAGTACATACAGTGTGTCAAAGGAGCTATGGGCAAGAACTGGCATTGCGTAAGTGGTGTTGTGCAAATGCCAGGTCTTATGTTGCGAAGCACTACTGTTGTACTATTTCTCTACCCTGCTCCATCAGGAGCAGTCTGTGCCACGTATCTTGGATCAGATTCAATTCTACCTTAAAATCAAAACAACAGCACACCTTTTCCATTTGGTTGTTTATGTTAATCCCAAAAGATGCCACCACCGGATCTTCATTGAAGCCTGCACGGTGCAACATCACTTCGTCGATGTAGTGCTGTTTATCCCTTGGCCCTTGGCAAGCGTGCGTAATCATTTGCCGTGCCTGCCTTGCTGACAGCTTCTTTCTTATTTTCTGACCCTGCACAATCCTGTGGTTGTAGCCCAGTTCAAACTCAGCTGCTGGCAGGTGCCACTTCATCGATGCCACAGATCCCCATTCAAATGCATCTGTGCCATGTAGTACTCAATCCATGCTGGCAAAGCAAATGAGTACTCTCTTCATAGCGCTTGAGTAAGATTGGCCACACATTGTGCTGGCCACTGAATGATTGTATCCCATATACACGCACGGAAACAGCACAGATATCATGGTACATGTTTCACCCTTGTAAAAGGACAACATCAATTGTGCCAGTGGCCGAGACCCTACAAAATGCTTGGTATAGAGAACATCCGAGCCAACATCAATGGGGCACACATTGAACACAAATCCTCAGAGACCCCTGATGAATAGAAAAGCCAACAAAACAAAAGCCGGAAAAGCAATGCCAGACTCCTCTTGACATGCAAGGAGCAACAGTCAGTTCAACTGGGCAAACCAGCACTTACTGTGTGAACTCTGCGGGAATTTTGATGTTTCGTTTTCCCTTGCTGCAATCCACACACGGCAACTGTGGGTGCTGGAGGTCTCTCCCAAACTGATCCCTGAAGTACTGTGCAACAGATATTGTCCTGCCATCACTAGTTTCAAACATTTCCTGGCTTGGAGTCCTGCGGGTGATGCCCTTCACCTTGTGCACGATGTTTTGGTTCAAGGTGTTGATCACCTGTGAAGCAGGCAACAAGATGTGAGGGACTATGAGGACAGGGGAAATTAATCAACATCGTCTGGACACATTCATCGCTGCTTAGAAAGCAAAGCCATTTGCAAAGCCACCCTAATGGGCAAGTACGATGCAGCAGAGGTTCTAGCATACAACAATTACCCAAAAGCCTTTTGCGCACACATATTCTAGTCGCACAAAATTTTGAGCTCAGTGCCAATGCTTGTCTGAACAAATGTTCAAAGTTGCAAAGTCAAATGTGGCCATGGCCAGTTGGTTTCGCAAGCTACACCTCGTCCTCTCCTTTCAAGACAACATGAGCCATCGACACAGTGCACCCACCTTGAAGCCTTTGAGATCTTTTGCCAATTGTGCAATTGACCTCACGCTTTGCAGCGTTACGCGCCTGTCGCGCATGATTTCGCTGACCAGCTTCGTCTCACTGAAGGCTATGAATGCTGTATCAACGTTGAGCATTAAGCCACTGGCACAAGCCTTGAGGCTCTGGTAGTAGCCCATTTTGACCTGTGCAAGACCATAAGTACTGCACAGTTCTTTGTGTGCCTACCTCCGTTCGCCCACACCAGTAAGGGATATACTGTTATAGCATCAACAGCATAGCAAGCCATGTGTTCCATTTTGTCCCTCACAGGAAATGGCACCATGTCTGTGGATTTGTCCACAGAGAAGGCTGGCGTTCATAGGGTAAACCAAAAGTTGGAAACAAGTTCCGGTGTGGAAACCAACAAACTCGGACGACCTTCAGGAAGTACTTGTGTACACCAACTGCCACCATTCTTATAACAACTGATGATAACACTAAATGCAAATCAATACCTCCTCGGTTCATTGCAATTTTCACATTGCACATGCCAATCCCCTCACAACAGGTGCGGATAAGGCGCCCAAAACAAGCATATCCAATGAGTCCATTTCAGCTTGATATCCCCTCCACTAAGACTTCACTGCCCATAGCAGGCTTCGTCCACCACAATCAGTACGCGCTTTACAAACAAAGTATTGCACAGCTGCAAATCTCCACCTTCCTCAGTCGTCACTTCACAGTCGCAGCATCGAATATATGCAATTCCCCACCAATATATTGGAATAATGATGCCAATGGGTGTGCAACCAAAGTGCCATTGGTTGCCAAAGTGAGCAGATTGAGAAATGGATGGATCCTCACCTCAGCACATTCACCAATGGACTTTGCATTGAACCCACGAGCCGAGTGAAAAAAGAAGCTCTCCCGATGGGGTGTGCAAGCGGGGTCCATCATGTTTCTGTGGCGAAGGGCCACATCAAGGACATGCACCACATCTTGGGGAAAGCCATCTATCCGCCCTGCCACAAAGTCCAAGAGGGCACGGATGTTGATCGTTGCCACCATCTTGGTGGTGACCTGTGCCATCAAAACAGATGCCCACCTGTAGTTGCCTTTTGTACAAAACTTGAACATTGTGCTCCACACCTCCCAGTTAAGGCGATCTTTCCTACAGCGGCCAATAGACGAGCTACAGACAAGCAATGCAAATAACCTGTTCTTGGGAAAAAGTGATATGAGGTTCAGTACTTTACAATACTTGCTTGTAGTAATCTGTCCTGAAAGAGTGTAAAACATGCCAGGGAGTGAAACAATAAATGAAATGAAATTGGTGGGCTGCAGATGCAAGACTGAACAAGACGGCATGAGCCACCCCATGGCACACACCAGGAATATACAGATAAAGCAACCAGATCAAAGAAAAGCTATCAGGAAGTAATGGCGCTGAACGCTTTGCGACTGGGGAATTTGTTAGGATGATGACCTGTTCACAAAGTGTGTCAGACCACACAGTGGGGTATTCCTGCCAGATTGCAATAGATGCGTACATAGATGGCCTTAGACATTATCTAAGTATTAAGTGCAATGGAGTGACAGCACAGCATACCCAACTGTCAACAGATTTTCCGAAAGTGGCACAAGGGAATTTGAGTGAGTCGTGGGTGGGACAGGGTGTTGGTGGACGCACAGGACACAAGATTGTGGGAGTTGTCCAGCATCTGGAAATTAAAAAAGAAGAGGGCAAACATGAACAAAAGCACCTTCATCTATCAACACAGAATTCTGTCAGGTGTGCCAATCATATCGAACATATATACAGGGCTTTGTGAATAACCCACATTTGCAAACGGACTCAAGCTAGGCACCATCACAGGGGGACCCCAGCCCAGGTGCCTAAGGCTTGTTTCCCCTGTCCATGCAGTTGGCCTAGAAGGAGCTGGTGTGCTGTAGCAAATGCTGCTTCCCCTCCCATTTGGGGTAACGAATATTACCTATCTAATCTGCAAGTCCAACATACAAGCCAGCTGTTGGCACTTTCTTTTGTGACAGCTGATGGTGTGAGACAATCAGTAATGTGTTTTGAACCTAAGCTCGTGTTTGTGCCCAGCATCACCTTGGAAGGTGCAAGCAGAGTGTTCTGTATAGTTTGGCACAACCAATTCAAAAGAATGACACATGCTTCAACTCCAAGGGGCCCTCTCACCTCATACGTCGTTTCCCCCCGTCGGCGTGCAACCTTCACTGCCTGGGTGGTCTCCCTCTCTGGAGGAAATGCCCCTGCAGCCTCTGTTGGCACATATAGTGCATGTCGGCCATCATAGGCCCAGGCAAGACCCCATCCATTGTCCTGGGCCATCTTGGTCATGACTGGAAACGTTTCTGATCCCCCCAGCTCCTCTTCATCCATGGGAACTGCAACATACAAGCAACTCCAGTTACAAGATTGTGATCCGCTCATATCCGTTCCTATCTACATTTTTGTATCTGATGTGATCTATTCTGATTTGGATTGCCCTATCTAGCAAATTCGCCAACGATGTTATTGTGCAGTGCATCCTGAAGACAACAGGATGGACTTCACAACACCATCTTCAGCAGCAGCATACAATGTCTAGTGGATGCGGCAAAGCAAATTTGTTGTTGTCCGTTTACAACAGTTCTTGCAAGATGACAGCATCTAGGATAACTAAAGTGTGTATGCCATTCCGGCAGACAAGACAATGACAGTTCTACTAGAGCACAGGTCTCTTGCACACGGACATCAAGTATGCACTGACATGCACAAATAGCACAAGCCACCAATGTTCTACATCCATTGAGGTTGGAACACAAGCTGCACCACCACACGATTGACTTCAGGACATCTTGAGTACTGCTGACATACAAAAGACCACAAACTGAGTGCATGCACAGTACCGGTACTTTCCCCCCGTGCAAGCGTGACTTAGAGTGTTGGAAAACTTCGAACTGCTGGGGCTGTGGAGGCAACAGCCCCCAAGGTAAAATATGAGTTTGGATACTGAGTTTAAAACCTGTAATCTATGATATATGGTGATGCTAAGGATCAGGAGGATCTCCTTGTGAGTAAATGGGCGGGGAGCTTGTGTCAAAACCGTGTACCAAAGATGAGTTTCATGCCCTCGAAAGAAATAGCTTCTTTGAAGACAACGATCTCACTTGCTTGATCCCAGGAATGCATGCTGAGACACCTGCATCAAATCTCATGGAATTTTGGCCATCTCATTGAACAATTAAGACTATATCAGTATTTGCATTAAATGTACTTACATTAGCTCTTATTGGTAAGTCCAGTCAGAAGTGGGTGCGCTAAGGTGCTTTCTTGTGTTCAGAAAGGCTATCATCTTGCTCAAGCGATTTGCAAGATGCACACAAAGACTGATGTTGTATATATAAGCAGCAAACCTGCACAGATCAAGTGACCACAAACAAAGCGCAAAATGCAGGTTTTGTTGCATGTTTCAAAAGAAGACCACAATGCAATCAAAAGTGCTTGGAAGTTCGATGTTGCACAACAATTTCATTTTGTGGACACATCACAGATCCACAATCCCAAGCCTGAGGCAAATTGCTCATTGGGGTTCAGCCTTCACTGCGATCCGATCAACAGCAACACCTTACCGTCTCCTGCTCTCTTGATATCCACTTGGTATTGCAGGGTCTCACGACACTGGCACCGAACAACAAAGTAGTTGGCGATGACTTTCTTTGCGCGACCAAGCTTCCCTGGCCCATACTTGGCACGGACGGGATTCCCCTCTGGTTTCTGCAACAGCACATACAGATTTTAACAATCAAGCATTCCTTTCAGATGAGTATATAGGGGGCAAGGATCAAACAGCATCACAAGGCCACCATCAAACAGTATTGCGTGATGTTTGATGGTATCACCAAAACCTGTGGCGCAGTTTCTTTGGCAAAACAACAGGCCCAGCTCAGATGTAGACAAAATACAGTGACAAAAATGATATGAAGTCTCTTCTGTAGCAGCTTTTCCATGCAATGCTCCAGCCAACAACGAGAAATGAGGGAAATTTCACACAGGCAATTGGGGCCTTGTGCATCAATATCTGGGTGGAAGTTTTGCAAACCAGAGCTTGAGAAATCAGTCCAAGCTATGCATTGGACATCCATGAGGTTTCTTACTGGTGTTCACACCATGCACAGGAAACTCACCGCTGGCCCCAGAGGGGACTTAAACTGTTTTAGGAGTGATTGCACGGCATTCTGCCCATGCTCCCTTGAGCACTCCTGAAAGTTGGGCTTCGGCCCTACAAACAGCATCACACCCTGGGTTCCATTATTTTGCCAACTGCTTGAATCCTTTCTTACTTACGCTTTATTCTCTGCACTTCCCTGCTGCACTCCAGCGAGCGCTACATCACTGTCAATAACACGAAAACTCATTTTCCCCTTTTGCAGGTCATACCACCTTTTGGCACTGTGACTGCGCATACTGGCATCCATTGCTTCCTTAGGCAACAAGGCATGATATGCCAGGGTCAACAACCAAAAGTTGAGAGGAACATTGTCAAACGAACTGCTAATACAAGAAGCAGTGCGTGGCACAGTACTGTGGAAAATCATGCAATGTATCTTTCAAGCACAAACTTGAAAACCTGTTGTGCAATGTGTTTGAAGGGTGCATTGCATGATTTTCCACAGTACTGTGTCACGCACTGCTTCTTGTATTAGCAGTTCGATTGACAAAGTGCCCATGAGCCAGGGAGGATGGCGACAAGTGATGGCATGCCTTCTTCTGTTTCAAGATTGCTGTATATAGCATGAGAATATGCCCTGGTTGTCTTGCCCTGTACACTAGTACACAGCACTATAAGCAACACAAGGAAGAGTGTCCATTTTCTATTATGTTTAACTCGTCAACTATCAGCATGGACATAACTACCCAAGTCATCAACCCATCAATACAGGACTGACTGATAGGAAGCTCACCTCTACCCCTTCCAGCCCCTCCTCCACCTACACGAACAAAAAGTAGCACAGATGACGAAATCCACATTATTGAGTCATTGGACAGGACAACCACTGCCCTGTCATATACAGTAACAGAAGGTGAATATCACACAAAGATGAGACCGGACTGGACTTGCAGGGGCACCAACCATCAGCAGTGCAATCTCATCTGCTTGTTGGAACATTGGATGCAGTGAATTCCACATCCTGCAGTTGTTTTTATTGTCGTTTGGTTTGAAAAGTACTAAAGCTTCGTGATTGTAGTGTTAGTGTGCTGCTTCTGTCTATAAAACAGTGCTTGGCAAGCTCACTAACACCTGTGCAAAGTTTATCCACCTGGCAAGACAACGGTGGAAAGGACAAGGTGGATGGAAATCGAAACGTGTGTCAGACATCATTGAAATACCTGCCCTCACCACTAGTTGTTGGTATCTACCCAGGGAACCAGCATTTAGGGCTGCATTATGCAATTGAATGTCTTGTTGCTGTGTCATGATGCTGAATGCCTCAGAAATCCTGTGTAAATTCAACACCAGCTGGTCCAAGGCTGCAGCATGGGCAAAGAAATCACCAGAAAGTGGACGATGTGCTTGCAAGAAATGAAGCATACGTTGATTGAATGAAGGACACTCCAGTTAAAACAGCAGGGGAAGTAAACCTCAAGCTCAGAATCTGCTTGGCAACAAAGGCCCGCCAAAACAAAACAGTGCCGACAAGTGGCCGAAGAGCAAACCGCTGGGAAGCGTCACCCCATGTTCCATAAAAGAACATTCAAGACCATGCAACAGGAACAGAGACGATCCTCGATGGAAGATGGACAATCCAACAACCCAACAACAATGAATGAGCACAGACTCCTGAATCCATGCACGTAACAGACTAACCTCTTCTGTCAGAGCCACTTGGACCACCGCGACCACCGCGCCCGCCACGATCGCCTCGACCGCCCCGGCCACGATCAGGTCCCCCTTGCCAGCGTCTGCCACGATCGCCCTGCCCCCTGCCCCTGTCCTTGCCCCCACCACTGCCTCGAGGCATTGCTCAAAACCCTGGTGGCACAACACTGGCCAGTTGTGAGGACATCGACAGATGGCTTCCATGGCTGCCATCAACTCCATCCGAATGCTTCTGTCTTTGCAAGGACAACGGTTCTATTGCACACTGGGGGCATTGAGGTTTACAGTGGCCATAATGCTATCCCGCAAGTCAATGCAGGCACAAATCGGTCATGAACCAACAGCATGCAAGGTGTTTAAATCAGGCAGGCAGCAATTAATTGCCAAAGTCTGCTGTGGTGCTGCTAACAGTTCGGCTGAACACAGCAGTGCCACGTTGGATGGTGTGCAGATTTTTTGCCAGTCGACCCCCAAGCGCCTACTCATGTCACATCATGTGCACTGCAATTCTGCATTGCCACCGATCACGGCAGGCCTGGGCTCAACAGTTTGCTTCAATATGTGACACGGGCAAGTTTTAACTCACCATGATTGTACGAATCTTTGGCTTTAAGTCGTTCAACTCCCTATGCATATTTTACTATTGTACACATTGTTCTATCTAAGAACACAGATCTTCCCCTGGGCATGTTGTTGCCTTGCATATGCACCTCAGGAGCCACATCAGCAGTAGTAAACTCCAAGCGTGCGCGCGAATTCCCTGCATATCTCCGTCAGGTCTCCTGCCAACGCGCGTCCTGATGTAAACCCAACTTGTGACAGCATCCAATCAACGGCATCAATCAATGCTGGGCCGTCAGCCAGTCGGCCAATGCTTGCACTTTGCAATTTTCGCACCCCCACCCCCTGAGGGAGAGAAAATTGCCCTAAAAACTGGGCATACAATTACTGGCTGTACCAAATTGGTGACTTTCTGCACTAAATCGGTGACTGCTTGCACCAACTCCCTCCCAAACTTACCTAACCTAAAACCTAAACCCTACAACTAAACCTAAACCTGCCCTAACCCTAACCCTAAAAGTCACCCTAAAACTAAAACTAACCCTAATACTGAGGTTAGGACATAGCGTGCACGTGATTTAGTGCAAATTCCCGCGTTGACGCGCACTGTGCAGCTCGCCGTGTCGAACACGGATACCGGCGCGACAGCCAAGCGCCAAAGTACGCCCCCCCTCCCTTCTCAGGAGCCCTGTGACAACACCGCAAAGCCACCAGCTGGCTAGCCCCACATCACGCAACGGCGGCCGAACGCGGCCCCATGCTCCAGCGGTCCGCGCCAGCCTCCGGTGCGCAAACGGGGGCGGGCAATCCGAAACAGCCATCTGGGGCGGCATTCGGGTCGAGCGGATCCCGGCAGGGCAATGCGCCGCGCCGCCGGAAACAGACGCATGGGGCGCAGGCGCCAGCAAGGCGACTGCACAAGCAAGGGCGCCCGGCAAGGCGGCTGTGAGCGAAGGGGCGCTTCGCGGGCGACCTCCACTGGCCAAGACAAATCCGCGTCTCTACAAATTCCCCACCTGTTGCGCCGCGCAGCCCGGCGGAGTCGACGCCAAACCGCCTCAAATAGCTCCCCGGCGGCGCGGGCGATTGCCGGAGCTCCGCGAGATCGACGCAGGTCGGCGGCGACGATTTCTCTCTCGGATCGAAAATGCGGGCCGCGCGATGGGCCAGAGAAGTGGCCCGGCGGTTGGGCGACGATCGAGCGGCCGAAGGGGACGTCTGGCGGCCCTGAGCGCCGTCACGAACTGGGTTGGACTGGGGTCGACCGGCCAGGTGCGCCGCGAGTGGCGCGCAGACCGACCGGTGGGCCGTCGTGCGGGAGAACGCGCTCCGGTGTTGTGCGGGCTGTTGGTGAGACAACGGAGTGTTTATACGTGCCATTTTGGGATCTTACCACCCACGGGGAAGCCGGTGGTTGATGCCGTTGTCTCAGCGCCAGACGCCGTGTCCTGACGTGGATACGCTAGGTGCCAAGGTCCAGGTGGTTCGCCGGTGCACCCCCACTTCTATCCGTGTCGAGCACGGCAGGGTCGGAGTCACAAACGCGGGCTGTCGGTGGGCGGCTCCCGCTGGACTGATCGGCCGGGGTATCAAGCGCAGGGGCAGAGTGCTGACGTGGTTGATGGGAACCAGCAACTTAGCGGGCTGGATGTAATGTTATCCCATCCGAGGTTGAGCCGCAATTCATTTTGCTGAAGTCGCAAGTTGCATGGTGGCTATGCAGCGTCCCCAAAGAATGCGGCGTAAACGCATTTTCCAGGTGGACCTGCGCTCGTGGCACCAGCAAAAAGAAGACCAAACAACACATTTGCCGAACACGTATGTATGCATTTCATCAGCCTTCTGCACGCTAAAAACACGAAAATAACACAAACCCGTAAACTTCGTACACGTTTGAACACGTGTTATTTGGCCCTTTTTTCCCTAGTTTGGCCTGCCATGTTCAGGCACCGATGGGTGCTCTTCATCGCCCTGTAGGTACATGGCTTTGTTTGACGATAGGTCAAACGCAGTGTCAAATTCGCTATCATCAACTTGCTGCTTCGCTCACTGAGTGACACATTGCCGATGCATGGCGACCGACTGAACAACACCTAATCATGGACCAGTCAGGGTTTGATATGAGCAACTGGTCACTGGTGCTGGGAAGCAATAGAGCCACGCTGAATGAAAGGTGGAATGGAGCTGGCTGACAAAAAGAACTGCAGGGGGACTGGATGTGGAAGCTGGTTTCCGTACTGTACAATATTAAGCCCTTCCGCATAGTAACGTAACGCTTGGTCATTTTTTGCGGAGAAAATATTATAAATAGCAACGCAAACCTTGGCCTTTCTGTGCGGGCCAACGTGCTTCCAGGACCCGACCACTTCTCCCCAAAGTCTGAACAGCATTGGACTGGTCCCAGCATCTTACAGCCAGGAGTTGAGAGGACAATGCAAATAGTGCCCTGCGAATACGAAAACCTCAAAGAATAACACTCCATTAAATGCCCGCGGCCGCACACACAGCGGCCATGGCCACATTGCCGCCGTGTCAAAAAGAATTGCACGAGAACTAGGATGGGATGAGAGCGATTTGCATCCAGTCCAAAATGCTCGCATCATGAGGAAGGCTTGGTGAGCAGCGACTTGTGGACCTTGAGCAGGAATGCGAATTTAAAAGCCGCTTCCTTGAGTACGTCGAAGCGCCCAGATTTGGAGTGGTGGCCCGCGTGCATGTCACAGTGCAGCAACACGACGCCGTTGCCAGTGTTGTATTCTCGCAGTTTTGCTGCACAATGAAGCGGAAAATGGTTCGTAAGCACTTCAGCACGAGCAATGATACCGCCACCACTGTAAATGCGTCCATCAATACCAAACATCTAGCACCAATGCGAATGATGGGAGAGCTGTCAAACAGTCCTGAATACACAGCATGGAGCAAAACCAAAAGCAACCCATGGGCCGGATTTCCCAGCAGAGGGAACGGCTCTTAAGCCGTTTTGTGCTGGCCTACGAACCCATGTCCCCGATCTTAAAGGACGCCGACATGCTCCAACAAGGTCGAAAAAGTAACAACGACACTTCCCTGGACAACAATGCGCGAGTGCTCGTCAAACGAGCAAAATATATCCAGAGACATGAAGAGCGTTGATATCCGCTGGCCCAATTTAGGCGGCTGGACAGGCGACGCTTGTTTCGGGCCCAAAGCTTTGGGTGTGCCTTTAAAGACAAGCGATGCTGTGGCAATCGCCAGGGCGGGTGGCGTTTCACACGGAGCTCGCAATGAGGATTTCACTGTAGCTGGGGTGCAGGGGGGGCGCCGCATAGTAACTCATTTCACTGCTCAACCAGTGTAGTGCTGTAGTGGCAACACAAGCTGGTGGTGCCAATACCGTGCCAGCTATCTCCTACGCACATCCAGCGTTCAAATAAATTTTCGTGCTGCATCGTCATCTGATGTTGTCGTTTCTATATTGACCCACACCGTGACATGTGCTCCAATTGATGCACTTTATGAAACCCACAGAATCAATCCGCGATCACAGTGCTGCGCCCTAAAGAACTCAGTATTTGTACACACAACACACTGCTTGTGCATTATGCGTTTTGCTTATAAAATATGCCCGCATCAACGTAAAATTCGAATAAGACAATCAAATGCGTTGTTCATGGGGTCAATTACACGCTTTGATGGCTCATGAAGCGGTTCATTTCGCGAAACTAAGTCTTTTCTCACTGATGACGATATAGAGGAACAGTAACCTTCTGCAATACTACCTCCGTTTCACAAGTTGTGTCTGATATCTAATTCTCTATTTTTTTTTTCAACTGGCCGCGTTTGCTTCAATCTAGGGCGTTTTCTGAGTTGATGTAAGTATGTACGGCTTTTAAACTTGGAAAATTTTTCAAAGATTTAATCTTAAAGATAGATGCTCTTGCACTGATCTAGGTGTCTCTTGGCCTTTGACCATCACTTGCACGCGGTTGCTGTTAACACCCCAGATTTTGCAGCCAACTCCAATTCTTTTCCTTGCAAATTCTGTTTGGGATCAAGCCGAATCTTTACTGCACACCAAACCACCAAAACGTACCTCTCTCGTGGTGACAGTTCAGTTCAATCCACCTCTTCTTGATGGCCAGGCAAACATGGGGTACCCCACTCAATGCCCGAAGAAAATGAAAAATCGCATTTCAGCTCTTCTTGGCATATCGCAAGAATGGCAGCATCATTTGGAACGTTTGAGGGCTCCACACATAGCTCTTGACATGGTGCTTCGAAGCTGTTTGAATTTTCCTCACTCAACCGTTTTGATCTCCGTTCGTGTAAATTGGAGATCGGACACGACTTATGAATCAGAAGTAGCATCAAAATACAAAAGGACTCGTCCAACTTAAAGATTGCAACCGCCTCCAGAGCCCTGCAGGTGGGCCTAAGGGCCAGATGTGGACATCAGGAGTACGCAGCGATTGTGGATCACAGTCAACGGCGTTCGTGCGCTACCACATATGGAGCATAGAACAAAATTTGCCATGGTAAGAGCCAAAGTGTCAAAGTGACTCTTGTCGGCCAGGAGTGTGTCAAGTTCTTGTACAATGAAGTATGGCGTCTCAAGGAGATACCATATATTACCATAATTTAAGCGGTTGCTTAAAGTTCCCCCCACATTGCCCTACTTTCGCCCTGCCCTAATATGGTATATCAAGTACCACTCAACCATTCTTTCAGGTATCCTTCTCGTACTTGTGTCCTGCAACATAATACTCCCATCCGCAAAGTGAGAATGAACGTTCACTCTCACTTTGCTCACGGGAGCACAGGGCACGTCTTACACTTCGAAGCATATCTTACAGGTTATCCCATATCATATTACGTATCTTAGAGCATCTTTATCGGTCGGCGCTATTGCACCGGCGGAGTTATCCAGGAACGGTTCTCATTGGCTGCCGTGCCACCTTACTAAGGCGGCATTTGCCAAATAGCGCCGGTGCTACTGCTCCCCTGCGCGCATCCTCAATGGTGGGTGCTATGCCTACGCCGAATAGCATCATGGCAGCACTACAATGTTTTGCACGAATGGCACCGGTGCTATTCTGGGGTGCTATTCGGCCCCCAGCGGTGCTATTCGGCCCCGAGCGGTGCTATTCGGGGCCAAAATAGCGCCGCTCGGTGCCAAATAGCTCCGGGGGCGCTATTGGGGTGCTACTGCTCCCCAACCGTTGATGATGGTTTTTTGACGTGCGGTGCTATTCGGATAGCCGAATATCTCCGCCGGGACAATAGCACCCACCGATAAAGATGCTCTTATAGGGAGTGCAGCGCGCATTTAAATCTCTTCAATATTGGTGCATTTGCACCGACTCCTCGCCCCACCTGCATACTTGGCCGGCTCCCAATAGCACACGTTGGGGTCGTGCAGCCCCGTGGTGACCAGCACGTCGGGGTACTCCTGCTTCACGACGTTGTCCATGGGCGAGTACGACTTCATGTAGTCGTAGTACCGCTTCTCCTTGGGGTTGCCCCACTCCTCCAGCTCCGTTGTCGTCAGCGGGATGCTCTCGTCCAGCATGGTGGTCAGGACGTCCACGAAGGGCACCTCAATGAGGGCCGCACTGAATAGGTCGGGCCGCATGTTTAGGACGGCGCCGGCGGTCATGCCGCCCGCGGAGCGGCCCGTGAGGCACAGGCCGTCCCTCTTGCAGTACTTGGACTTGATGAGGTGCTCCGCGCAGGCGATGGTGTCCGTGAAGGTGTTCTTCTTGCGCAGGTACTTCCCGTCCTCGTACCAGTGCCTGGGGGGGACAGAGTATGGGTCGGTGAGACACTGTCGTGGGCAGATGACAAGGCGGGTGGGGCCAATCGTGAAGACAAGGGGGGAGGGGAGGCATATGCCTTCCCCCTTGTCATCGATGCACCGATGCATCGTGGAGGCGTGGAATCCGGGGAACAGGCACAGCGTGCATCGCAGAATGAACGGAACCCACCAAAACTGCAGTTTCGAATAGTATCCGTGTGCATCGCTCGTGCCAGGTATCCAGGGCTGAAAGTAAGTGAGAGACCGGGTGTGCCTACACAATATTCTTCCATTTGATATGTTGAGGAGTCAATGGTGCAACACACGACTTGGCTTTTGGTTCCTCTGCTTGGAATGTGAGGAATACTAGGTCGGTTCTACTTCAGCCCCTTTGGTGTGTAGCCATATTCAGTTGCTGGAGGTGACGCACCTGGTTTTGGTGAGCGAGCAGGTGTTGCTAATCGTGCAGCTAAAAGCAACAGGTGTTGCGGATAAGATAGATGCATCAGAAGACAGGGCTAGCCACAGTCACAAACATTCATCGATGCAAACCCATACAATGCCAGTAGGGGTGTGGGGGTGAGCACGACGCCAAAGACACATGGCCTAGCAGCAATCCCACGAACTGTATCTAGTCCAGGTTTTCAGTGCAAGGACGTCAGAAATCAATTCAGGACAACACTGCATCAGCAATCAAGCATAGCAGCCATGTTGATTTCCACAAATCATGGCTGGGGCCTTGCGTCTGCCATGCTGTCTTCCGATGTCAGACGTTCTCATCGCTTCCATTGGCAGAGGCTGACGTCTAAGCTCTTCTGAGATATTTTGTGAACGATCGAAATTCACAAGTGATTCCATAGTGTGGAATGCCCCAGAATAGTGTGTGAAGCATTACAAAATTACTCTTTAGCAATCCTTCGGTTGTTTGTATAATTCTACAAGCAATTGAGGAAGGCTCAAATGCTAGATCTACCTGCCCATCTCTCCTCCACCACGCACATGGGCGATTGCGTAGATGAACCCCCGATCCAGCAGCGACAGCATCGACATCGAAAAGCATGGTGTCTCTGCGACTTCATATGATCCGTAGGCTAGCAACAGCAGCGGGGCCGATGCATCAAGCTTCACCAGATCCTAGAAGCATGTGGTGAGCTTCCTTCAGTAAATTCTCCACTCTCTCTCTCTTTCCAGACATGCGTCATCCAAGGTGCATTGGAAAATTGAGCATACAGTAATTCATGCCAAACAAATGTGACACGAAATGTGTTATGAAACAGAAACTGCGAACGCAGCAATATTCAACACAATCATGACATTCATTGCATTTATTACATTCATTGTGCTATTCGCTGTGTTGATTACATGTTCACCATCACCGGAACTTCCAGCCACCAGGACAGCACTCGCTATGTTCTCGCTTGTGTGTTCCGAAATGGATGGTTTAACCAAGGTGATACCTGTCATTTCCGCCACAAGGCACCAACAGGCATGTGGACATGCAAAGCACTTGTCTGTCCACTGTTCTTTCGCGTTCCTTGCACCTTTCTATACACGAGGGAGATGGGAATGTCCGTCATGTCGGGGGCAGTGGCCCACAGCCGCTCGCTCTTGTAGTTGGCAGAGTTGAAGTCGCCCAGCACTGCCTGCACCTTCTTGGTGCACCGCTTTCCAGTCGTCATGTTGCAGTCAATGACTGAGGCGGGCGTGGTGAGGGAGGAGTAGACGATGCGGAGGATATCAGACCTGAACTCGCCCTGGCCGCCTGCTTGGAACGATCGAGTGGCAGTGAGTAGGGCCAATGCGAATTTGCTTGTGATTGGCTGTTTATTCGCACGTTCTTTATTCACTTACGGAATTATTCAGTCCAAGCTGTTGCACTTGTCATTGCGTAAAAATCGCACCTGGTACCAGTGAGGCGGTGTAGGACAATGTGCTGTCCCTGTGCTGGGCCAATGTGCAGAGTGACGCCCTGAGCATCAAGTCTGCGAGTTTTACGGCATGCAACAATCTTCTCGGCTGCTTTGGGCAAAAAAGACAAACGCAGTTTCCCTCCCCCCACGCCTGCAAGGCAACGATGGGCGCAATTCCATCCACACCACTTGATTTAGGAGAATGTGCAAAACAACAGAACAGTTGCCTGTGGCAATGGTGTGGCATCCAAATGGCACGTGCCAGCAACCACCCTGCAAATCCTGGTGTTTATGTAGAACGTGGGTTCCTGAGCTTCGATTCTGTACTTTTGGCAGCACACGCCATGCCTCTGGCCTCCACAAAGTCCCACACAACTGCATACATCTTTCCGATGGGCCTTCACAGATCACCGAATTTCGATTCGCTTGCAGATTTCAGGTTTCAGCCAGGCCAGGAACTTGTGGAAATTCTGCTCAACTGCTAACCTTTGCAGTTCTGATAGCACCCACAATTTGGCAGGAAATATAGGATTGGAAGCAAGACCAGCTTCTCAGATCGCACTCCAAAAGCACAACATACAACAGAACGTATCCGTCACATTTATACAGAATCACAAATTCGCGAAACACGTACACAACCTGCATATCCATGCCCAGCGCCAATTCCAGCACTTGCTGACCTGGCATCAACTCATAGGCTGGTTCCTCAAATTGCAACTCGCTGGTTTTGGCCGGCAAGTTTGGCATGCCTCCACCAGATGGTAGCCTGAAAATCCTTGCTGACTGGAGGGCATTGCTCCTTTCGAAGACCGCCAAATGGTTCTCTGAAAGGCAGAAGCACTCCAGCTTCACATCGTACCGATGGGGAATGAGCACCTGGGAATGACAGAAGCCAAGGGCACCACAATCGCATCTTTCACAGACAACGCACATTTGAAAGACCAATCTTCCTTCTCAACCTCGGGATTGTCTGACCAGCTTTCATCAATATATTGCCACTGCAGGACGCTACTGACAATGCCCCAATGAGCCTGCCTACGATTGGCAATTGTCGTCAATGGCATCGAAACCATTGCACCAGGCAATGGAGTCCACAGCGATTGCGCTTTATGTACTGTTAAGTCAAGCATCGCAAATTGCGCTGGTAGCAATCACAGAGTCCACTTCTGCTTCAACGATTTACATTCACAACGCCCCAGATGCTTGCATGGGATATGGAATGGCGTCCAGCAACGCCTAGACGACACTAAAATGCCCAAGGTGCACGGTTCGCAATGCGCAGTTGAATCCAGCTATCTCTTGAACACATGCCCGCCAGAGGCGAGGCGATTTGTACTTCAGCAGAAAACAAGGGGGCTGCAGCACAAATTAAATGTAACTTGGATAGTTTCTGGTAGCGCATGGCTCAAAAGAGGCATCGACCTTGTGAGGACGCCAGCCCACCTTTTGTTGATCTGGGCGGCCGACCGCCATGACGATCAACTCGGAGTTTGGCCTGCGCTCGTCCCTGATGTCACAGTAGAAGTAGCCGTCCCTGTGCTTGGCGGTGTATTCCACATTCGGGGTACGGGGCAGCAGGACGGACCAAGAACCAGTGGGGGCGCCGGCGTCCAGGTACATTATCTCAGATGTGACCGCAGATGCTGCAATCCACAAATGTGGGCAATGTATGTCCAGCAATTCAGTTGTACTGCGAGCATTGAGCATTGTCGTGCATCACATCGTGCGTGTTTTGTGGAGTACATACACACTGAGCAGAACTCAAAAGCACGTGTACATACTACGTGGTAGTTAAAAGCATGTGCATTCAAAAGCACGTACTATGTCTTACGTAGTTATTAAGGCAGTGGACCACACGGCCATTGTTTCTGGGTGCATCTCCATGTCAGCATCCTCCTTTTCTCCTGTCTGCGGACCGACTGCAGACGCAAACCACTTGCAGTGCGCGTCTCATATTTTTATCTCTGCTTTGACCAGGAAATGCTTTCTTCAGTCAAAGGCACCACCAGTCCACTATGCGGTGTTGTACTGGGGACTGTGCTCCAGCAGTGCAGGCAGCGTACAGCGTATAGTATATACTATACAGCGTATATGTGTACAGACCTTCAGCCAACGTAGGTACGGCTTAACAGCTCAGCGCTTTGCACTGTCTTCGCACAGCAATTTACACACATCAATTTCCTCGCTCGTCAATAGTCATTACCACATACCGCAAAATATTCTCACACACCAATATTCAATACCACGGTGCTGCAAACGCTCCTGTGACGCAACCACGTAACAAAACGCTACTGGGGTTTGTATTGCAGGCACTGGACCGAATACAGCAACAGTACACGGGGGTGCTTTGAAGGACAGCACCTCTCCATGTGTGAAGTCGCCCGTGCCCAATCGCGTTCCGGTCAAGGGGACATGACCTACACGGCTAACCAAAATTGAGAAGCCGATCGTGCCAGTATGTTATCGCTGCATTTCATACACTAATTCGTCCATGATGTGTTGCATGACATCAATATACCCCGCGCCCCGAAATTCTGAAGTGGAAGGAAGGGGCGCGGGACGCCACGTGTGCGATTCCACCCATTGTGCGCACATAGGTTTGGGGTTTAGGGGAATGCACGGGACGCTGTATAGGCGTCCCGCGCCACAAAATTCTGCCAATAGTATATTTACTGTACCATATAGTCGATTTGCTATATTACTTGGAAGTATACTGTCCTGAAGTATATACTTCCACTAGTATGTTGCTCTGTGCGGAATGCAAGGAACGTGTGTTCAGATTCTTACCTGTCCAGATCATGATCATTTTGTCGTCTCGACTCCGCGAGACCGTCACCATGAAGGCCTCATCCTCTTCGTTGAACACCAGCGTACTTTGATTGCCATTCGCGCCGAGGGTAAGGCGCCACACCTTCATCGCACAGACAGAGCCAATTGCAAGCGCCACATTAGGCACATTGAATACTGCATTAAAATGCACGTAATTTCACTGATTCCACTACTGTGCATTCCCAACCTTGATGCACAATATCATGGGCAAGAAGCCGCTTTGCCAATCCACCACTGCCCCTACTTTACACCTGGAAAATGTTGAGTTTGCGTCTTGCTGGCTGCAACATTGTCAACGATTTTGGAATGCAACGTGTTCTGTTTTCCAATATTCAATTTGACATGCATTTGATGCTGTCAGGAGACTGAAACTCCTAGCTCTTCACCAGCTCGAGAGACTGCAACTGCGGCCATATCTAAGAAGTAGCTGTGCTTCGGTGATTCGACGGGCGCCCATCGAATCGCCGATAAGTACGCATCCAATTTACTTCGCGCTTTGTGGGGCATAACGCCCCTTGATGCGGAAGCTGATTGAATTGAAAGATTCCGGCACCGGAACTCAAGAGTACAAACTGGGACTGTTCTGCACCTGCAAGTGCTGGCACTAGTGCATGCAACGACAGGCCACAATGACCAAGACTGCAAATGCACCAAATGTAACGCAAGCAATGAAGTGCTTTAACCCCAACGAAAGACAACGCACATCACCACGAAGTCAACTGATCCATGGGAAATCACCCATGGAGCTGCCAGCACAGCCTTGTCAACTTGGCACATATTTGCTTATAATCTTTCCGAATGGGCAATTGATCATTTGAGAGCAAGCACACGGTGACCAGTACAGCTGCCAGAATGCCCTGGGGATCATGCAGACAATCCCGACCGGCTGCTCCATGGCTGCATGTACCCCGTGAATGCATTCGATGCACTTCATGATCTTGATGCTTTCGGACTCAGGAGTCCATGCCTGGGAGCAGACTTGCTCCAATGCCTTAAAAGGATCCTAAGGGAAGATCATTTTGCTCAGCACAGCATTCACCCAAGACAAGGGAGTTTGTCCACATCATGTCTTCCTTCTAACAATTGTCAGACTTCACAGATTTCAACAATGGCCATTGTTTGAGGCCATGGCCTCACCACATATGATACAGATATTCTGGAAGGAAAGTGAGCAACACTGCGCACCTTGTTAGCACGAAACTGCTTGTCTTGCGTCACATAGAATATGGTCCTGTTGTCCATCGCCCATGTGACCTGATCAGCCAGATTGTGAATCGGCGTCTGCAGCAGCTCTCCTCCAGTCTCCAAATCCTAAAAAACACCAATGAGACCCAACCTCTTAACAACTTGCTGGCGGCTAAGTGCACGGCCAAATTCTAAGTTTTTTGCAGCGTGAGGTGATGCTCACACTCCACGCCGTGCCTGTCAACGTGCCACATTCAGCCCACAGGCACAGAGCCAGTGCTTTGCCACACACTGACAGACAGGGCCAAATGGCAATTCAAGCTGCCATTTTTTGCCAAGTATTTGAAGTTCCGATTACCTGACAATGTCAGCCCGTAGGGAGACATTAAAACACAAGGGAACCGGGCCTGTTGTCGGAACCATCAAGGCCAACGCATGCTGAAGATTTGGAGGACCAAAGAAACATGCCAGATATACCAAGGGTTATAGATGAAATTATATATATGAAATATATAATTATATATATGAAATATAGCAAGGGGCTCTGCATTGAGTAACAGAGGACTAACAGCTGTGTGTGTGGCAAACAGAATCAGCACAGTCTATAATTTAAACTTCTCTTTGGAACAATTTTCGGACAGTTTGCGGCGACAGTGCGCTACACATGAAGAAACGAAGCCAGAAGCACACAAAGCACACAGCGGAAGGCATACAAACAATTCCACACTAATCACATCTGTCCTCATCGACCGATAAATCGAATCAGAGATGTCTCCACACTAGTAAAATGGAAAAGCAAGGTGGCTAGGATATTTCTATTATTCCACGTCCTGGTCGCTGATTAAATTAGACAATTCGGTCCATCTTCAATATTTGGTGCGTTGCGAACATTGGACTTTCAGCACCCGCACACAATCCAGCACGGATCCAAAAGGTGGGCAGCTAACAAGTTCATGCTAGCTGCAGCAAGAAGATATCACCTTAACGTGGAGTGTGTATTTCGCGTTTCCTGACAGGTCCTCTGTGTAAGCCATGAGTTTGTCGTTTGGCGAGACACAGACACAGCCGACATCATAGAAAGGGCACTTTGCTGCTTGCACATTTTCGTCCAACAGGATCTCCTCCTGGATGCTGGTGTCCATCTCATCTGCCTCACTCGGGGCACCCATGCCTCGTGGGATCTGCACACAGCCCCAAGAAGAAGTTTTCACATTCAATTTCGATGTGCACAGCATGTTTGGCACTTGGGACACATTAACAATGGGCTGCCAAAGAGATGGAAGATCATCCCATCCACAATTGGCTGCACTTTTCAAGTACGCCAATTGACATTCGCTTGCTTGACGACTGGACCTTTTGAGCGCAGCAGAGTCTGTAACTTGGCACATGAGACGGGCCTCTCAGATAGCATACGATATTCTGAAATGCGTTTCAATATGCTGCATAACCTACACAGCAATGCCCAGCCTCTTTCTGGGACCCTGGTGATATCTGTCTGTCTGCAGTCCCAACAAGGTCCATGGGAATTCAAATGGGTCTTGCAGGTGGTACACCCACTGCACCAGACCATACTGCACTTGCATAAACAACCCACATTAATTTGGATGGGACAGTCCTGTTCCCAATAGCTAAGTTCCCAGCTTCTCACCTTCCTTCGGCAGTGCACACTGTACTGCTTCCCTTCCAATGTCCTCGAATAATAAAAGTAGGGCCCATCCCTGCATCACACTCATGCACTGTTTAAATATGCTCTAATTCGGGCAGCACCGGGGGAAAACGGCATGTTGGCGATACCAACTGCGATGCCATTTTGACACAAAATGATGCCGTCACAGTGACTGCGATGGCATAAAAGCGGCTGTTATGGCATCAATTTGTGTCACATGGCATTGCAATTGGCATCGCAAACAGGCTGTTTTCTACTAGTGCAGTCCATTCCAATGCTAGTGATTTCATGTTGGCAGGCTTGCGCACTTTGGTGTTTGAAGTGGAGCAGTATGCTGTGCAGAATTCCCTCTTGTGTGCGGTGCCAGAATCGCACAGTTCAATTGTCCCCCTTCACTTGACTCTTTAAAAGAGAGTCCGCTTTCAGGAATGCTACTGAGTGTGGTGTGCTGTTCAGAGCAGCTCTGCACTTTCATTGGCATGCCACAGTTTTTCATCTCCCCAGCTAGAGATCTCCATCTGTAGAACTTGCGCCCTCTCTTGGCAAGGGTTTCGGGGTCTTTCTTTTGTGGTCTTTTTGGGCCACTAGACAAATTGATGCTGTCCACTGATCGAAGCTCAGTAGAAACACATGCCATGATCATTGTCCAAATTCGCACACTACTGCAATGGATGCATCTCTGCATCCTTTAACATCATCAGCAGTCTTCAATATCATCTTCATGGATGCAAGAGAATCTTACAAGCTTCCCACTGCAGGGCAGTGCCCATTGCATGACATTTCTATGCAAACAACAGAACTGACAACAATATACAACTGCACAGCCTCTCAAGACATTCTCTGCCACATATGGGCTGCTTTTCTGCTGCGCCTTTATCGCAATCCACACACATTCATGCAATCTCAGCTGCCAATGCTCATGCACACAGCATAAAGTACCACACTTTTCACACAGGATGCACAACAGCTGCAACAGGCAAGCATCTGTTTGAAAACAGTCTGTTAGGCTCACCTCTGGGGAGCAGACTGGTCATCCTCTTTAATTCTTCCCTTCATTTCCCTGAATAGCTCCTCCTGCAGGCCCTCAGAATCCGCCATCGCTGCCTTGGCATAGTCATTCTCGCGTTTGAGGTGGTCCAAGACCGCTGGGTCCTTCCGTTCATCGTCTCTCATCCTTTTTGACAGGATTAGGCCATTTAGAACAGAATCACAATTTTGTGCACACAAGGTAGCAATAAAAAATGTGTGTATGGCATCTTGCCAGCTTGTTTTGGTTATAGTACTACAGGTGCCACAGCCCCTCATATTGAAGCATCATGTACTTCTCGCAGAGTGTAGTACAAGGAATTGATTCATTGGTGTCCATACAAGGGGCAAGGATCAGCAGTGCAGCAGGCTGGCAGTGCAATTTTGCAGTCATGAGAAGCCAAACTACCTTGTTAAAATTGGTCTGCTGCACTCTTGCAACTTGCTCGCTGATCAATAAGGGGCATTCGATGAATCAGCATGAGAGAAGAGTACCAAAGGCTGGTCACTAGCAAGATGGCAGTGCAGAAAAGCAACAAAAGCAGTTGTCACTGCCAGTTTACTGAGAACGGTGAAAACAACATGAGGAAAAGAATCCTGAGTATGGTGGGTGAGTGCTTACCAGTAGTATGGATCATCCCGCACATCTCCGTGAATCTCCATACGATGTGGCCTCTTTTCAGCAACAGGGGGTTCAAGAATATCTGGTGTGCAGGGCCAACAGCACCATGTTAAATGCTGCAAAGCAACCATCACAATGCCCTCCAATGTAGATGATATGACGATTAATGAGGGACCAATGTGTCCACACAATGTACATGTATGATTAGCAATGGATCGACATCTCCATTAGTCGCAACTGGGCTTACGCCACCATGCTGCCTTGCCCAGGGCCACCAGTTTCCAGTTCACCACACCAGATCTGACACCAGGGCACCTTTGGGAGTCTGCAAAGCTTCCAAAGCAACCCACTCTTTTGCATACAACTTGAGCAAATCCACAGGATTCCTTAAAAACCAACATAAGGCCATGAGAACAAAACTGGACACTTTCAATGGTAGCGGTCAAGACACTTTCATTCAAGTGCGACCTTGTGGTCTGCATCAGGAGTTGGATTGGCACCCTGGACAACTTGGGACGAGGCACTGCAAGCCAACATAGGCAAGCACAAGCAGCTGCATAGTGGAATTGGAAGCACCGCAAGCAACAGCGCTGAAGGTGAAGCATTTGCAACATCATTTGCACACTGGAATTTGCACCAGGGCAATTAGCAGTAGTACGAAGATTAAAACTTGTTACAACCACAGCACCTTGGAATGTCCAGTTCCATCCGAAGTGTCAGCTGCCAAAGTATTGCTCCTGCTCACACTTAGCAGTCTTGAGCACCGCTGGGTGTTCAGAAAACTGTCTCAAGTGAAACATAAGAAAACTCAACTACCGGGGGAAATAACCGCACAAATGGTCCTGTGTGCAGAAGACCGCAGCGATCCACACACCAAGCCTAGCTTCCTCCAGAGCCCCAGGAATGCCCTTTAGGCAGGCGGCAGCATCTTCCAGCAGCTTGAGTTTCTGGTTGTCCTTCACTCCAGGCGGTGGCCACTGGCAAAACAGGTGATCTTGCCCAAGGGCCATCAGCTGCCCCACAAGCTTGCGTTGCTGCATTTGATGCATAACAATCGGTCATTAGAGCAGATGTCTGTGACCCATTGTGGCTCAATACAAAGGCTTGCAAGGCAATGAGCTACGATGGAGTAGATTGGAGCTAACAGTCACTGACCAGGAGTCCAAGCCCAGTCTGCAATTCAACTTTGGACATGGTCTGCTGTTGCTAGCAGCTATGTTTTGTTGCTCTGATATGCAGATCAACTGGTTGCAACCCCATTCCAGTTTCGAAAGTCCTGATTCCCATTGCTTGATTCCGGACTATTTTTTCAGCTAAAGTTCTGCAGACTCTGCAATGCATCACAGAACTCAGAACATAGTGGACAGAGACACGTGAAAGGTCAATGTGGTGGCCTCCAAGCACACAGCACGATCACCCAGGAGGCATGGATATCGTGGTCATGATTCTGTGGCTGCAAAGAAGAATCATTGTGCTTCTTTGTGCCCATGGACATCTGTCCTTGGACAAATCCATCAACCCAGTTTCCAAGCAGTCATCATATAAGCGATTCACTGCCCACAATTGAGTGCACAGTCCCAGCGATTATGCCGTGGGCGTCCAGATCTGAACACTGATGATCGCCTTGCACAGAATGCTGCACGTGTCAACTGGACTTTCAAGGATCCCTCTGCAATTCTGAAACAATTCGGAAGCAAGACAACCAGGCTATGGTTTAGCCTGCATTTCTGTTTGGCTGTTCAAAAAATGGAAGTCGACACCAGCCAGCATATGCGGCATTCGGCATTAACAAGCTGATCATGAGGCGGTGCGCTAGTCAAGTTCCATCGCTGATGCCGGCGTCCCTGTACAATTCAATGCATGGATCTGCAATATATTTGTTGCTCTGAACATTACCGCCTTGTCGTACGGCCCCCTTTGTGCGCATTTTCGCTCTTCGTGGTACAATTGTTGTGTGATTCTTCCTGTTAGGGAGGCTCTACATCATCTTTCATAGCACGGAAAAGGGCGTCATGCTCATTTGATTCGGGCTGGGGCGCCCGCTGTATGACCTTTTTTCGATCTGCGACAAATTTTGCTCTGTACAATTGGATTCGATTGCCGTTCATATGCCTTTCGCCCTGATTCATGGTGCGTCACTCACCGCTGGCGACATCCACTCGTAGTTGCCATTCAGAACCGACTCGATTGATCGCTTTGGCTTCGCCCTGCGGCGGCAGCACAAGAATGCATGGTCTAATGAGGCACCAGCGAGCGAACATCCATCCCCATGGCATCAATGCCGGACACCACAAAGCGACGAAACATTGCTGAAGCGTAGGGCGCTACAGTGGTTACACAATGGGAGCAATGCTTGGCCAGATCAGGGTGGGGAATTGTCACCGTGGCGCAGTGCCCGCCCCCCTTTTCGTGATGTCGCCCTGCTGGGAGTGGCAAAGGTTGGCCCCCAACAATTGAGCGCATCGACCATTGGCGCGATCTGCACTGGCGATCTGCAGTCGGAGAGCAGCGAGGCGCACCTTCCGAAGACCCAACCGGCGAGGAGGCCGGAAGCGACGCCGGTCGTCAGCTTAAGGGGGCCCGCCATCGCTCCGCGTCCAGCCGTGAGCCCGTGAGCGCCCTTGGGCGAATACGGCTGGAATATGTATGGACGGAAGGCCAGCGCTTGCATTATCCTAACTAGGACAGTTACGTAAAAGGGTGGAGGACGGCGTGTGTCCGCGGAAGTAGTCGAGCGGTGCCTCTACAAGGAACTCCCGCTGTTGTGTCGCACCACGCGCGCTGCTCGAAAATTCGACTTCAGAAACCAACCAGAAATGCGCTCTGCATGAAGGGGTGGCTTTGTGTCTCGAAGACGAATGTGAGCTTTGAAATGTAGCCCTTCGCTAGCGAGCCTTCCATTAGCTCACAATACTGTGGACTTGCTCTGACAACATGACCACCCGTACACAACACAAGCTGCAGCAAGCTTGTGGAATACGGGACGTGGTGTGATGTGCGATGGGGCAATGACGTGGCGGTGTGGGCACACTTCCAGAAACAAACGAGATACGGCAGAACGCTGACATGAAACGGTATACGTGCGCCCCACGTTCGAGCCGCGAAGACGTCCTTGCGCTTCAGGACCCAATGCCAAGGGAGCGGGGCCCCAATCACCGCCTCCCACTGTCGCAGTTCTGGCCCCTTGCGGACACTGATTGCAACCACCCCGGAGGTTGAGGCAGGCCACCTGGCGCCGTCCGTCAAATACCATACCGTTTTTCCGATTTCCTACCGTATTTTCATTAATTATGCCCATTTGGCGCCTGTTTTGCGATTTTCTTTGACTTTTTTTGGCAATTTTAGCATTTTTGCGGTTTCGTTGTGATTTTCTTTGATTTGCCGTTGCCTTTGTACTTTAAGGTTTTAGTCATGCTTCCCTCCCGCTCCCCACTGCGGAGCATCCACGCCCTGATTTCCAGCTACCTACGGTACGAATAATGATATCGTGCGGGCCGTTATTTGACAGACGGTAGGGCCAATATCTAAGCCACCCCGGGCCTCGATTGGTTGCCGCAGGTGTCCACGATTGGTAACCACAAGGGTTAATTATGGCGATGGAAATATTTCTGTTTCCACAATTGACTCTCGTGGTTGCCAATCGTTCCATTAATGGGCCCAGTGGGGCAACCCAAGGCGCCAGCACAGATTGCAACACCGACTCAAGAAAGCTGTGGAAGAGGGGAGCCATCACCTCCCCCCTCACCCTCGGCTGACTCCATGCATCCACCCCTTGGGCGCCTAAAGCTCTAGATAACCTCTGGACATCTGACAGCCGATTCAATCACAGCTGATCAAAAATCCGACAAATCCAATGCATCAAAAGGAAACTACTGACCAACAGCTAAGCAGGGCAGGTGCTCTGAAGTACAGCACATCGGCAAATCGTCCGCTGCACATATTTGCGTTGCGGCGGCGAACAGAAAGGTGAAGGCCTGCTGTGAGTTTGCCCTTGGGAAATGGCGATGTCAACATGCTCAATAAAGTTGCTTGTTTTAGACGCAAACGTGAACATGTGTGTCATGCCTGAGTTTCTAAAGCGGAAACGTAAATGTGGGTGTTGTGTTCGGAATTTCGAGGCACGATCACAAATATCTGATTCACGCTCCGCTGAAGCTTGCAACCAAAAGCAGCGTATACGTGGAGAGCACATTCGTTGTGCCAATGAGTCTGCGGTGCCGAGGCTGAGTTCGACTGTGTGCCAGTCAATCGAGCACAATGGACCTGCGCAGAGCGCATGTCTTTGAGTAGAGTAGTGGATTGGTTACGGGCGGATAGCTCTTGCAGCTCACTGCCGTTTCCAAGCTCTTTTCAGGTAAGCAGCTCAATTGCTGCCGCTGCTTTTATACGTGGACGTCAAGCAAGAGTCGTACCTTGAACGCATCTTGCGACCCCAGTTCGGGGTCGATTTCCAAGTTGTCATCCATCTGATGGAATTCAAAACATGCGCGGGTGTATAACCACCCATTCAGGGTACTTAGAGTTCAGACTCTGATAGCAGAAACTTCAACTTTGTTCGCAGCCGTTTCAAAATGTACGATTTAGTACGAAGTGCGTCGCTGCAAACATTTGCCAAATGTGCACGTGTGCAAGTCTGCTGCGCCTCTTGGCTAGGCCTCATGACCCACTGCTGCGCCATAATCCGCCCATGTGGAACAACGCTTCAGGACTCATGGCTGCGCCTCGTGGCCGACTGCTACGCCACTAGCCGTCCACGTGGAAGAACCCTCCGGAGCAGTTGCGCGAGGGCAGTTGCCCTCCAAACCAAATTTACACCCATATCTCCATCGATTAATGGCATGCAGGCCACCCTTCGACGCTCCCAGCCGACGCCCTCTGTATTCCTATCCATTTCCACACGGAAGGTTCCAATCGGTGAGCGGCGCTAGATTGTAAAACGTCGCCTCCCCGTAGCAAGATCCTACGTCCTGGCATTTGGAGGCCGTCGTGCCAGTATAGTCAGTGTAAGACCCGTCCTCGTTGTGCACGACCGACCTGCCCAGGTGGCCATGGAAGCAAAATTTCCTACTGTCGCTGTAGGACGTCCGGACGACGTCACCTTCCGTGGGTGGACAAGTAGGCCCTTCCCTCGACAGGTTCTTGGCGTAAACGTAGACTTTTGGCTGGACGTCTGATGCAGAAATGCACTGTGCGTTGAAAGAACCGTTCCGTAGTTCACGCAGCGAGTAGGCCGTGGCGACCGAGGAATTACTCACGGCAAAAGCGACACCAAATTTTGGAAATGAGCAGTTGTTGTTGACTTTCAGGCAAACGCCCTCCTGGTTCTACAAATGGTCAGGAAAACCCAAACAAACATTAGTACATAACATTTATGTCCTTTCCCAATGGCAAGTTCATGTCGGAGTATTGATTACACTACAATCGGTTCTGATAATATCCATATGTATCGTGATTGTGAAGACGAGAAAGTAATTGATAACTGATTAGGTCGTATGCGGGGTTGTATTGTGTGAAATTAACATTAGAGAAAAAAGGGCCAAATAACACTTTTGCGAACACACATAAAACACATTTCATCATAGTTTAACACGCTAAGAACACGAAAATAACACAAACCCGTAAACTTTGTACACGTTTGAACGTGTGTTATTTGGCCCTTTTTTCCTAGTGTAAGACATGGTGAATGTTGCGTTCAATTTCGGTGAAGTGTGCATGGGGCAATAGGGACACGGACGCGTTTACAGTGAATAATACTGGACTGGTCCGCTCATCCTGCAATGCAACTGGTTACCTACGACTTGGGTACCGTGCTTGGGAGCGACCGTGCGTTAGGGTGTCTGAGTATTCGTCACAATGGTCATATGTCATTACAAGCAACCTAATCGCCAAACGTATTTCAGAGTGAATGCAGGTGAACAGAAAAGCCTTAGACAATTTCCAATCAATGATAATTGGGCCTAAAATGAATGATACACTGGATTTGATCTCGGCAAAGTACTTCAAACAGGACAAATAGTATAGCTTGCACCGGTGACTGTACTTCAGAAACGAATTCCTTGTTGGCACCAATACAATGGACCTCACACACCACGCGCACATTTTCGCCGCCAAGAATGAACCAAAGGCTGGACCTGGAGCGACTTTTACCATCGCCATGTTCTACGAATACATATTTCGTGCAATTTGAACGTGGCAAAAATGTTGCAATGGACAACTCACATACGGAAATGGGGATCGAGCTGGCACTTTCGGTTGCTCCGATATTGGAGACAGCGCTGGTGCAGATGGCTCGACAGGAGCTGATATTGGCGACGGCGCGGGTGGACGCTGCTGCGGGGAAGGAGATGCAACGACTTGCTCAGGCGCAGATATTAGAGGGAGTTCTGGCATCTGCACGGTAGCAAAGTTTCGACATTTAGTACACCTCTGTGCAGTTGCCCCAAATATGGAAGCGCAGATTAATTGACCAATTCATGTGATGCCAGCACCATTTCCACATACAGATATTATTCCACAGCACTAGGCACGTCCCACCCGCGATTCCAAGATACATAAATATCCTACAAAACCAGAACGGCAGCAATGTTGTAATGAATGACTCATCAGTGGGTGGAAGTACAGCAATAGAGAAATGAAATCCAAAGAGTCTGGCATGTTGGTACTCTTCACAGAACATTATCTGTTTGATAACAACTGGATAAGCCGCAGCTCACAAGGGAACCAGATTTATAGGCGCATGGAATCGAGTGAAAATATTCAATTACCTAAAAACGAAATTACCACAACCTTCGCAAAAGCTTTGCTGACCAAACAGCACAGCAATACGAGTCTGTCTAGCAATACTACTGGTAGTGTTGTCAAGCAAAAGCAAGACTTTGGCACAGCAAAACGCCGTTCTTGCGAAGCCAATTGCGATGGCATTTGGCACTGCCCTCAGCATAACGATTTCGATAGCAATGATGATATCAGCTCGTTTCAAATGACATCTAGTTGGTATGGTCCACACATTTTATGACGCTGGTAGATTTCCACCAGAATAAAAAATTCCTATTGATCCATGAACTATGTGCAGTTTACAATGGACATTTCAATCTTCAATTTGAAGATAACCTGTAAGCATGGAAACATGCGGAAGCCTGTATTACAGATGCTATGTCGATTTTGGTGTGCTTAGCGTCAATTTGACGTTAAGCGCTTGATGCTAGCGAAATTAATTCGACATAGCACCTTCCCTAACCGAGGTACAGGAGCATTGCACGGCCGCCGAATGAACATGTGGCATTCTTTGTGCATATCGCAACCCTGGTGGCAAGTTTTGCAGCAAATGATCCCTGGGCGCTCACATTGAAAATCTTTTCAATCCATGTTCGGAAGCTTGCAATCCTTGTGAACACGTTGGGCTTAGTTGAAATCCCGCACTCAGCATCTTCCCCAAAAGATGTGACTCCGACACAAGGTCCAGGCGAGGTTCTCCTGCAGTTAGGTTCCCATCAGGAGAGAAAACTTCCAGAAGGGGACCACCACTGTCTCCTGCAGCAGCAAACGCAAGGCAGCAGATGGGACAATGGGCATGTCAATTGGATCTGG